GTTGCTGGGACCGCTGTCAGTACAGAAGCGTACGCGACAACTGACACAGCGAAGAGCAGCGGAGCGTATCGATCCGACGCAAGCCGTGGCGCCCCGAGAAATGGCGCAGCAGGATCTTGGCCAGCAGGACAGCACGAATCTGACCCAGATCTGTTCCGAGATCAATAAGCTGCTTGCCAATAACCAGCTTAAGCGTCAAACAGCAGCTGAGCAGGAGCTTAGTCGCGAAACAAATCTTACCCCGGAGAAGGCGCAACAGATTATGGATAAGCACAGCGTGGCGGACGACGGGGGAATTCCCTTGTTTCGTTTCTGTATCAACCCGAGATCTTTCGGGCAAAGCGTGGAAAACTTGTTCTACGTGAGTTTCCTCGTGCGAGACGGCACAGTGGGTGTATCAACAGATAGTCGCGACTTGCCGACCCTGCGTGAGTATTCTTCAATATGACTGGTTGATAACGCACTAATGATTTAGCAGATGCCGCCGCGCCGTTCGCCCCTAGTGAAGCCCAAAAAAAGGGCGTGCAGAAACATCAGGCGGTCTTCAGCCTGGACCATGAGACGTGGTATGAAATTATTGATGTGTTCAAAATTCAGAACTCTATTATCCCCCACCGCGAAGAGAAAGAGCAAGAGACTGGCACAAGCTGGTATACTTAAGCTTCTTCCGAAGACACGATTCCACGAGTCAATATGTGTTTTGCAAGATACCCCTTGATCTTTTGGCTTGCATTACTAGGTCAATTTAATAATTTGGCTTTGTACTGTGAATATACCAGTTGTATTTTATGATATCTAGCACATAATCTAGAGTATGACGCTTATAAAGCACAAAATCGAAAAATTCTAAAATAATTAGGCTACTTGGATAGTCTCTTTTAATGCACGTAAGCCATATATGTACAAAAGTAGACCAGGTACATAAGTTACCGAGGTCGCCCCTTAGCGATGATAAATCCGACCTGGCTCGATCGAAAAGTGGAGTGAGTGGCTGATAAGCCTGTACGTCATTCCAAGCTTGTCTGGCCACTTCCTTTCTCCAGCAACTTTTTAAACCTCCTATTTTACAACTCAGCTTTTCTCTTCTCTGCTATAGTGTGAGCTTTACAATATACCTATAGCTGCAAGACACTCTAACTGAGACATCCAACGCCAGGGAGCGCAGTTCTCGAACTCTAAGCACAAACAAAGCCAAAAAAGAGGAAAGGCGTCAAAATGCCACAGCTCTTTCCAACCAACCCTTCTGCGACCATGGTAATCCGCCATGTGACACCGGAAATCGTGACTATGAGTCTACCATTCGCACGGTTTGGACACCTGCAGTTCGGCGGGCGAGGGACGCTGGGTTAGTGCCAATCCTTACAGAGCCAAACCTACCAGGCGCATAATACCTCGGAGGACAGGGAATGATGTGCAGCCATATCAAGTCCACGGGGGCCCCTTTTTTAAGATCTTGCGCTAATATTCCTTGCATGCGACAGTCAAGCTTGCCACTGGTTCCCTCGCAGTATTCTCACCCGTCAGCCTAACGCCCGAAGTCCGCGAGACAGTCGAATCTCTCGGTGGAAACGTCAAATACATCACGGCGCCAGATATCGAACACCACCTCAATATCACCCCGTGGAAGAACGCATACCCTCAAGCAGTGATCCTGGCGCCGGAGGGTCTGTATGAAAAGCGACAATCGAACCCGGAGTTCCAGGACACCCCGTTCGAGCATGTATTTAAGAAGGACGATCAACTGCCGCGGTCGATCTCGAAGGAGTTCGATGCTGAGTTTGAAAGCGAGTATGTATATGGCCACGGGTCGCGTGAGCTGGTGTTTCTGCATAAGCCCACGGGCACGGTTATTGAGGCGGATCTGCTCTTCAACCTGCCCGCTAAGGAGCAGTATTGCAAGACTCCCGAAGCGGGTACTAATTTCCTTACGAGGCTTATCATGCCGCTGTTGTCCACCAAGCCGCCAGCTACATGGCACAGACGGTTTGCATGGTATATTCTCTCCAAACAAGATCGGGCGGCGTTCAATGAGTCCATGAGAAGGATTGATCAATGGGACTTTGATCGTTTGATTCCTTGCCATGGTGATACTATCGAGACTGGCTCCAAGGGGATATTCCGCGATGTGATGGCATGGCACTTGGATCGGAAGAATACGTAGTCATTTTTCCTCCTCGTCTTGTCGAAACTATTGTAATATTTGATACTTTTATTTTGACTTCGGTGTTGCGGAAGGGAGGTCATTATGCATCAATATGTAATTTTCTTTTTTTGGGGACGTTATAGGCAGCATTATTTCGAATTTGATCATCTCTCTTGGCTTTACCAAAGTGGATATACGCTTGTGCTTGCGGTTATTGCTATTCATAGTATGAAAGGCCCACTATTAGCTCAATTTTAAAACTTTTATACACTCGCATGCTTCTGGACTCTTCCTGCATGTACTTCGTACATATTGATGTTTTGGTATGTCTGCCTAGTTCTGCTATATCTCCACGTCAAATACTGTGTGTACACTGTACTATGTAGTAACAATGAATGTAATCTATAATCAACACAATGCAAAATAACTCTATGCCTTACATGAACGTATGCATAAAATATATAGAATCAACCTTATCAAGTCCTGCTCCGTGGTCATAGGGCTGAGAGAAGAGCAAGTTAGATGACTCAAATTAAAGATGATGTCATTGTCGTCAAACGTGTACAAGGTCTCCTCGCTTCAAACCGGATCTCCCTTGTCTATGGCAGCTCGGCAGTCCACCTGTCAGACAGCACAAATGATCGCCCTGAGTGGAGACCCAACCCAATTCTGCACCAAATCAGAGCTATCGTCAATAGTCCTGGGATCGGCAGTCAACTCACCACTCAAAGACCAAGCCACTGAAGCATATCACAATCCAGCGCAGAGCCCGTATTCCAGGCCAGCACATCGTGGCATTTTTTTTTAGTAAGGGGAAGCTGGGTCTGGGGAAGACAGGAATGATGATTTGGAGGCAACAGAATAGTTCCAGGGCTATGCAGTACCTGTACGCTCATATTCCCCACAGCCCATAGGCCCACTCCTTGCTCCGATCGGGTGCTGAGGAGCATTCAGCCACAGTCCACATCAGCGGTCAGTCCGCCACGAAAAGTCGATCTCTTACCCACCCAGGACTGGAAGACGGTTGGGCAGTACACACTTAGACCAATAGTGACCGCGGCTTGTTTGAAAGAATTGTATACGGAACTAATCTGACGACACCAGGAGGCTTAGATTGACTCTATTGGTCGCGTTTAATGCAAGTTGTGCTTTGTTTTGGGTTCTTGATTAATTCATATTATTTTTCCGGTTTATTGGGCTTTCATATTCGTCCCTTGCTTTAAAAACACCCTATTACTCCCTCTCCGAGTTTGTTTGTCTGTGCGACCTGATACGTTATATAGCTTCTCGTGTTCCCCAGCCCATACTTCTTATCCCACGCTACATCTTCTCACACAGGCTTGGCACATTATCTCCGTATACAATCACATCCTTCAGATTTGTTCATCGAACATCCTATTGATTTGGGAACACCTCAACAATGCCCGTCATTTCACGTCTTGCGTCTATCATCCTCCGCGTTGCGGAGATCGCCTTTGCAGCTGTGAACACCCCACATCTACACCAACTGATAAATCGCATCTGACTCTCTTCTAGGTCGTCGCAGGTGTTATCGGACACTACCTTGCTGAGGTTGACCAGAGCGGTGTAGACGTTGACTGGTGGCCCCAGTCTCGATGGATCTATACTGAAGTGATCGCTGGCTTATCGATATTGCTGGGCCTCATATGGCTGATCCCGTTCTCCTCGGGATTCTTCTCTTGGCCTAGTACGTGCTGGATATCCTACCCCGTGAATATAGATCAATGCTTACTGGAATCCAGTGGACATTCTCATTTCGTTTGCTTGGTTCGCTGCTTTCGGTGTCCTTGTCGACACTATCCGCCGCTTGCCATGCGGCAGCATCTGGTCCTGGCACTTTAGAGGGGACCAGACGTGTGGCCGATGGAAGGCAGCAGAGGCTTTCAGCTTCCTTTCTGCTATTATCTGGCTTACTTCTGCTATCGTGGTATGTGATGAAATCTCCCGATCCACGTGGGGAAAAAAGGAGCACTAATAGGCCCCCAGGGGATTTGGTTTACCTCCCGCGTTCGCCAAAACACCACCGACGGAGTGTAAGTGATCAATGCGCACCTTCGAATAACGCGGTATTTCTTGGTTGATACTGACATACTGAACAGTCGCCGCCGCCGCTGGGGTCGTTCCGCTGTCTAGATAATGTCGCCGAATCATCACGCCTCTCCATAGCAGAAATTAACACCAATACCTCGTTATGCACGGCCAACCATGCGCGTCGCGCCTCACGCTCAGCACAGTGTTGGCTACATGAATTATTTCATGATGCTCGTGCGCTTCTGTTTCTTTGCTTTCCTGTGTTTGCCTCATGATTTGAAGGCCAACGAATTACGACTTACGCTGATACCCTTGGTGGAATAATATCTTTAGTGCTTTGTTTGCGATCCGACTGCTTATTTCGCGCGAAGCCAGTCTTTTTGAAATCTATTCCTAATCCATCCTCATTTGGGTATTATTGTCTATGGCCGCGCAAGCTTTTGCCGTAGTGATTACTATAGCTATGGATATTGATTTAAGGTGCTCAAATAATTTGTTACCCACCCTCGCCTAGTTTCTAATCCTCAGCCCGAGTAACAAAGAACCGCCAACAAGGCCTTTATTTTCCAGATCACCTTGTTCCACGCTTCTCTCTTTTCACCTTTGTCGTCTTTCTTGTCTTTAACCTCGCCATTTCCGGAAGTCCGGCGTGGAAACAATATAAATAGCCCTCTAGCCTGAACAGTGTTTGACAATCCACTCTTGCTGGCCTTTGAGTTAGGGATTCATCTTTCGTGATCATCATTACTGCAACCCATCACAATACATTCTGCTAGCGTCGGAATTGTGGTATCAATAAGGAGTCATGTCTGTTATGCTAGACAACACTTCAGCCCGGCTCTTTCAGACTACACGCACTGTGTTTCAAACCGGCTGCCAGCGCCTCATTGACGACATCTTGCACAATGGATTATCGCTTGAGCATGAACTCAATGGTAGAGTGGGTCAGCTCCATCTGTCATTGGAGCAACTGAAACGAGCCGGACGGATGATGGTCATTGATTGCTCGACAAATGAGCTTGTGCGTGTTGTCCCTATTGGATTTTTCACCGTTCTGATCGATCGCCCCGGACTGGACCCAATGTCCGAGTTTGACTGGGCCTGTATTTACACCTCTGACACTTTGAATATGCTGACTGGTGACTTTATGCGACACAGGGAGCCCACTGATGTTGCCCGGAACCTTGAGACCCAGTCATTGCTCTGGGACTTAAGCATGCCTTTCCCGGTGACAATTCCTCACGCTGAGGATTCCGCCCCAGAGCCATATGTGAATGCTCTGCAGATCCCTCCTGCTGCTAGTATGGCTCGTATGAACTCTCGGATTCCAGTGAGGCCTCGCCCTGCCCCTCCTGTCGACACCTATTCGACCTATAACCGGCCTGTTCCTGGACCTTACCCCCCCTGCTTTGCCCCCACAACCTGTACCTGAGTCGGAGCATGTGCCGGAGCCTGCGGCTTCTACATGTGTTAGCACTATTGGTCTTCATAGAAACCCCAGCATGAATCCCCGGTAAACCTTTGCTTTTTCTTTCCACGTTAGTTTCCGCCGATTTCCCCTTTCCAAAAAAGAAGCGAAAACAACCAAGAAGACTCATATACCTGTTGAATTTCAGCTAGTTCATCGTCACGCACATTTATAATAGAAACAGTCATTCATTTTATCCTCACAACATACTTTAATATAGTTTATGTTCTTTGAAAATGTAGAAAGCTTTGTCTTTTTGCAACTCTTAGTAGCAAGAGAAATTAATCGGTGTAAGAGTGAGAAGAGCACTCGGTTATTTCGCTGTATTGAGGCCGGTGGTACCACTTCTACCCCAAGAAGTGACTAATTCTTGGATTGTTAACTATTATGCACTTCTCGAGTTGAGACTTTCTATAATCACATCAGCTTCTAGGCTCTAGCTTTATTTAAATATCTAATATCATCTCACATTTTACTATGGACTTTGACGTGGCCTTTTTCCTAGACCTTTGCTGGTTATTCAATGTCGTTTCTGCTCTTGAATTTCTATTGACATCACAACCGACATGTATCGTCTTTACGAAAGAAGAACAAATTCTGGCCCGCCGTTGTTAAAGATCGCCTTAAAAATCCAATGCGCCCAATGGGCTCCTCCGTCCAGCTAGAAAGCTGCTCCAATGTGGGTATATCACCGTGGTTTGCGATAAGGCGGTGCCCATTACTCTTTAGACGACACACAATATGGCCCAGTTTGGGGTGGTTTTCCCGATCATACTCGACCGTATATGTCTTGAGAAGATTTAGTAAAACTTTAAATCGGTTCGAAGATGGTAACAAACCTCGACGATGGCCTCTCCTTCCCCGTGCATACTAATTGATGGGGGTAGCGGACTGGCTGGAAGAATCTCGCGATTATCTCTCGTGGGATACCGACCATTACCTCTGCGACCATGCGTTGACAGGGAAATTGCACTCTCGCTTGTCATAACGCCTCCATTGGCGAGAATAAGTCCGTTTGAGGGCTTGTGTGCACCACTAAGCTTCCGTAACTGACGGACCATCTCCGCCACAGCCTTGACCAAAAGTGTCAGATCCAATATTGAGTGCTGAATTCAAGTGCTATATCTTACGTGCATAGAATAATTTGCACCAGCGCCCCCAAATGAGTTGAGGCCTCCTAGGAGGGTGATTGGCTTTGGGAGCTTGTCGCAAGATATACCCAAATGGTGGCATGCTATCTTTGGGACAATTGGGAAGCAGCTACCGATTGGCAAAAAGGTGAGCGTGACTGATATCAAACCAAGTTACTGCATCAATGGATGTACACTCACGAGTAAAAATCGAAGAGGTCGATGTCATCCTTGCTAAGCCCAGACGAATGGAAACAAAGATCGAGGGCAGATACTATTGCCTGGCTGGTGTAGAAATTAGGACGGTCCCAGACTATAGGTACAGAATGATGTTAGTTGATTGATCTAGTGCTCAACATGTCAGATAGCAGGCTCCGAGTAGAGGAATTTACAGTCTTTAGAATCCTCTGCTCTTCCACCCCCAAGTGGGAAAATCCACTTATCGCGTGAGATACCCATTCGTACGGCACACTCTGTCGTAGTTAGGATACAAGCACCAGCAAGGTTCACGTCGTTGAACGCATTCATCAACAGCGGATCTTTGTATTACTAGAGTTAGCACATTAGGGCTTTCACAATATAGATAGAGGACACCCACAAGGGAAACATATCATCCTGTTATTCTTGGTGATACTTCCGATTTCTTTTGCTGTTTTAGGACTCTTTCCAGAACTCCACGCCATCGGGTGCTTAGACGCAATCTCGGCAAATCGACCATAAAGCGAAGCGGATTCTTCAAGATTTTCGAGGGGGCTCTGGCCTCTCTGCCATCGCAAAGCGTTCTCATACATCGGGTAGACATGCATAGGAACACCAACTCGATGAGTACGCCCAATTCCTGTGCAAGTCAGCGGCTACACTTGCACCATCCCCGGAGGAGTGACACTAACCAGTTAATGAGTCGGTATCATTGGCGTAGTAAACCTGCGAGTTTTCCGGTGCTGTCCAAGGGGGTGGGTATGTGCCATCTTTGACAAAAGCCTTCACTATGAAAACACTACCGTTAGTGCCACGTTCTCCCGTAGCTGCCCCGCGCATTTGCTGGAACGAGTGAACAAACATGATGCCATCGCTTCCCCACCAACCACGACTCCAACCTCGATTTGCTCGTTTGCAATCATTCGAGCTGTATCGTCGATCAGCTGCACAGATGTGCTTCCGGCCAGCTCACTGTAAGCTGTATGAGAGGGTTTGACCCCCAGCTTTTCACACACTAGCTCTGGTAGATCTTTGTATGGCCACGTCGAACTCGCTACAACCTTTACACTGTCGACGGAAGAGATAACAGCAGGTGCGCCAGAATCACAAGCATCTGAGGCAGCCTCTCTGATTGCCTGGAGCATTAAGTGCAAAGGCTCAATGGCATCTTCTGTTCGGCGTGAGGGATTCTTGACCTCTCCAACACCGATGATGATCGGGACTTTATGGGGTGCCATTGTTGGATATACAACGAGGAAGGTCGAAGACTCGGACAGTATTTAGACAGATATATATATAAAGTGTCGTCCGCTTCCGTCCTTTGTATGGTACTACTCCGACCTCGGTCTATATATGGACTGCGCCCCGCCGCGGAAGCCAAATTGGACATTGGACAGTATAGAAACCGAGGATCATTGAATTAAAACCCCAACTCTGAACTCATTTACGAGCGGAAAGTGTGCTATAGGGGAATTTAGCTTTATTGGCTATTACTACCGGTAAAAGATTTCTTAAGTACTATTTGTCCCTATTTCATAGCTAAGGACTTTTGTACCGGGGCGCTAGCACCCCGGAGGTGAATTCAAGTTGTACATCCACATTTGCATGTCGATGTAATATGGTGCAATGCAAGAAAAGTTCTATGTGGCACATATTGTCGCCCGTACTCATGCTTGTGTAATTTCTACATTTCCTTTAGCCTTCTAGACCTTGATTTCGAGTTTCATGGTATTAGTTTTGACCTTAACGTCTGTTCTAGGCGGCTTTTATGTCATGAAGGGAGTTTTTTTGGGGGGGAATAAGGTTGGGATATGGATAGAGGATAATTTGCTTCTTCTATATGGACTAGCTGTCCCAACCTAAAGTTGGCTTAACTGCTAAGCGAGCGAAAAGTACGAGATGTGCCATTCACACAAAATTGGTTACCCACAACCCCAAATTTCAATATCTGCTGTATACCCATAGATGAACTGTGCTTTACGGAAACTAGGAAATCATAGCTTCGAAGTCTGGTTGACATATTGCCCAGCATCTCTCAGAAGTGTAAACGCCTGAGTGATCATTTCCAAGATAATTTCATGCGCGGATTGATCTGGCGTGTTTACCATAGCAGCACCGCACCCCATCGGCCTGCAGCAATGTTAGCAAAATCTCAATTTGAAATAGAAACATTGTGAACATACCTCTGCGTGGATTGTTCTTCAATCTCATCTGTTAGCTTGCCCTCTCGTGCCAGCTTATCCAGTTCATAGTCGAGTACAGTCAATCCCTGGTTCTGCAGCTTCTCAATGACATCGCGCCGATTAAGCTCCCAATTTCTGATATATGGCGTAGCAAGAGCCCGTAGTGGACGCCCGGTCCAAATCGTACTCCTCATGGTATCCTCGAATCCTGCGTCAATGATCCTGCAAGTCTCATCGGTCAGCAAGTCACACCACATGGAGGTTGAATGATTTAGGCACTCACGCCTTTTTGCCCAGTTTCGAAGCAGCAGATTCGCGGGCTGTGACAAAGCGTGTGCCAACCCACACCGCACCAGCGCCCATGGCTAGTGCAGCGGCGATACCTCGGCCGTCGAAAATACCACCAGCTGCTACTAGCTGTACGGTCTTTCCAGTGAGCGGGGATTTGTACTGGCGGCAAGCGTCGATGCAAGCTGGAACGAGCACGCTCGTTGGAATCTCGCCCGTATGACCACCTGCCTCTCCGCCCTGAGCGCATATGAAATCCGCTCCGGCCTGGCAGGCTTTGTGGACATGCTTCAATTCAAATTAACTAGTTGCCATAGAATCACAGGGTGGGATCTGGAGTTTGTACCTTCGGATGGCCGACCATGTTCTGTATTATGAATCAATATCAGTCACTGTAGCTTGTAATCTGTGACAACACTGCTTGCATCTCTTGGTACGTACCATATACAGAATTCCAGCCTCATGAAGTCGATCTATAACCCTCTTTGGGGGAATTCCTACAGCCGACACGAACACCTTTGTCTTTTCTTCTATGATGATATCGATGAGGTCGTCCAATGCCCCCTTCGTATAATCGATGTTGGTCTTGCGGGCAGAGCCTCCAAGCTGAGGAATCAATAGGTCCACGCCGAATGGGAGATCCGGTTGCCGAAGCTTTTGTTTGACTTCTCGGATGGCATCTCGCAGCATGTCTGGGGTGTAGCCAAGACCACCAAGGACCCCAAGGCCCCCTGCATTAGAGACTGCAGCTACCAGGTCCGATCCTGCTGTATGACCCATTCCAGCTAGGAGGATGGGGTGTTTGATCCCAAGAAGCTGGGTCGTTGGTGTGGTGATAAGGGCCATCTTGGAGTTGCGTGAGGTAGACGTCCTTGGACTTGCGGTGCCATCGCAACGGCAAATTTTTGACTTTTATAAGCCCAGCAGGATCATCGGTAATAGAAGAGGCGGCTTCTAAATCGCATAATTGGGCTTTTTATGAGTTGGACGACTGTCCAACCTCGGTTGGGTTTGGTTGTCACCGAGGCGTGAATTTTAAATTGCTGGATCACCTAATTTCTAGCTAAACCTTTGACCTAATTACTCTATTCTTTGTTTTTATTACGACTGTCCAATGTTTGTGTGCTATCTTTGTGTTATTCAATGAACGTAAGGTCAAATATCACACTACAATTATCTAGCAGGCTAAGTTAGGTAGCGCATCCCATGTCTTGTTGCTCACAGACCATTCAACCCCCAGGAACTCCCCATGAGATCATCCGGAAGCGAAATCTTTTTCAACGGCAAATGGATGGTTGAAATTGATTCCCAAAGTTCGTCACAGATTGTACCTTCGACGGCAGCGGACATACGAGCAGCCAAATGAGAGGTTTCCTTCAGCTTGCGCAGAATTTTCCAACACTTGTGCAGTGAGCGAGAGCTTTGTCGTGCATTTATTTCGATACTAGCCTGGGATGGCTGTCTGTGGTAGCCTAATACAAGTATCAACAACGCCGAGGTTGGACACGGTAGCTGTTCGGATAGTTCTAGACAGTCGATCTCATCAAGGACCTCTGTGATATCCAGCAGACATTTGTCAATTAGGGCAGACCGGGATTTGTGTCCAGAGACAGCCAGACTGTCACCCGAGGGTTCTTTGTCGGTACAGCATGCTGCGTATAAAGAACCCAGATAAAGGAGCCGAAGCCAGGATTGATGTAAATAAATGCTGCGTTCACAGTCTGTCGGAAGCAGGTCCAGTGGACACTGATGACTAGCGGAGACAGGGAGCTGGAGTTGCCATCGCCGATACTTCTCGATCTCGTCTTGTGTTGATCCTGGCTTCAAATGGACGTCATCGTTTGCTATGTCTTCTCCACACACCACCTTCTGTACTCGGTTCAAGATGCTCGAAAATCGAGACAACTGACAAAGTTTGGTTTTTTCAATAAAAACTACAGCTTGCGTTTTTTGATATTCGATGTCGCGAAGAACCTCACAATCGTCCACAACTGCTCGCATCTCAGGGGGAAGATGTGAAGTTGGAAGTCGTTCAGTGTGATCATCGGAATATCGAACAAATTTCTGTCCTCGCGGTCCTCCTGCATGCGTATCACGGAGAGGAGGTTCTCCACGGTTAGTCGAGTATGATTGTGCACGCTCCACCAGGTGCGCCTGCGCATCTTTTGCTCACACGACGTGAGGGTAGAAGAATCTGGATTGCGGTGGAGACCGATAGATATTGCTAACGATAGACAAACACCTATCCAGTGGCTAGCAACATTTTCCGATTGAGGTAGATCGTTCCAGTGAATCAGCAGAAGTAGGGCTTGGACTGTTGAAATTGGGTCATCCTCGCAATTAAGTTCCAAAAGTACCTAACATGCCTGTCAATCGCAATGAACAGTAATACACGTAATAGTGATTAATGCGAACCTTTACTCGTCGGAACAAAACCTCGCGAACTACTTTGCGCGACATATATCCCTCCTCTTGGATGTGTGATATATCCACGAACGCAGAAGCGGCGAACATGACTGCATGGAATAAGAGCAGGCTAATGCGAGTTTTCCCGTCATTTGCAGCAATTGAATGCAAAAATTTATCCAGATCCAACACTGGTACCTGAGGGTGTGCCCATAATATGTAGCTTTTCAAAAGCTGCTTTCGAAATGGTGCTGTGGGAAGACATAAAGCCCCCTTGCTCTCTAGATAATCAAGGTCGCTCACTTCTAGACGAGCTGGAAGCTCTGATACGTATCGAGGGGTATTGTTCAGACGAGATCGATCGGGCGCCTGGGGACCGAGAAGTTGATGCATAATCGATACATAATTCTCTAATGGATCGGTCGCTGGAAGGTCCGCGGTGATACGAGCCCGAGGTAATTGCTCTTGTTCAGTTCTGCGTATTTGAGACTCGAACAACCCATCTGGATCAAGGCCGGAATTTCTTCATAAGAGAGGATTCAAATTGGGGACATACGGCCGAATTCATCTCCACTTACCATCACAGTAGATCCTAGATGGGAGCCTCTTCTTCGGTGTGATTCTGTCTCCTGGTATATTAGCCAACCTCTTTGTGCTCCATACCATTCCATCCTAGGCGAAATTGAGGAAGTAACCCACTCTTGGCTAGCGATGCCGTCGCAACGGGTATTCGAGCGGCGACAGTTGGAGCAGGGAACGCCCCGCACACCAATGTAGCACCGTTCTCGTCGAGCGACACAGTGCGAGCAAGCGCCCGATTCAATTGTCCTGGCTCGTTTGGGAGCGTGTCCCATTATTCAATTGACCGCAATCTAGAACGGGGACTATGAGGAAGAGGAATTGGAGTCCCTAGATCCAGGGTAGAAGGAATTCGGCAGGTGGAGTGCAAAACGCGGGGAATATGAAGTGGGGGTGCATCATCCAAAGAGATATTCGATAATTTTGATCGAGCTTTGTCGTATTCTGTTGGCTGACCGGTTAGATCTCTCGCCGCTGAGTAGAATGAGCTCATGAACCCCCCCAATATTGTATGCGGGCAAATTCCGCGGGTTTTACAATCCCGGCGCCCTCGGGGCCCCGGGGCCAGAGATACAGCTTAGTCAGCACAACTGTGGACAGCCCTAAGAGGGTTGACGGCGAAGAGTATGGCCTGGATTCAAAACGATTTGGTAATTTAGTTCTGCTCATAGCTTTCCACTTGGTATCACAACCCATTCTCAGATTTGACAACTTCATCGCGAACTCGAACCCTAAACCGTGACCTCACCCATGCCTTACAATTTGGTATACTCCCGATTTCTACAATGCCCAATCCTAGACATCCATCTAAAAGGCGGGTCCATCGAAAGAGGTCCGTGAGAGCATGTTCCAACTGTCATTGTCGAAAAGTGAGGTGTGATGTGACCCTCAGAGGGTCCCCTTGCACTTCATGCCGCTTCTATGATATGCCTTGTTCTATATCTATTGATAGAAGGGGAAAGGGGAGCAAGGCTGCAACGAAAGAGAAATCAGAGAAAGAGGGTGTGGGAGATCGGGTGATGGACAATGAGGGGCTGGGTATCCCCCAGGCAGTCGAATCCGTGGGTACGTGTTAGGAAATATGCAAAAGAACCAACTAGCTAGAAGAACGAACGATTCTAATCCGGACAGACCAAACATCACAATATTGGACCGAACCAGAACATAGCCCTCCGGTTCCCACCAGCAAATTACGAGTGGGTTGGAACGAATGGCTGCCAGACTACGCCAATCCCCTGTCACCCTCGATCACATTGGAGGACTGCGAACTTTTTCACGAACAAGGCGCATTCAATGTCCCAGATACCAGAAGCAGAACCGGGATCCTGAACGCATATTTCCAATTTGTGCACCCTGCATTACCGATCTTGAGCTCAGAAGATTTCTTGATGGTTCTTGATGAGAATTATAACGGCAACCGGGGTATCAGCTTGCTGTTGTTTCAAGCGGTGATATTCGCCGCTACTACATTCCAATCAAATGATTCTCTGGTGTTTGAGGGATTCAAAAGCAGGAGAGAAGCTCGGCAAGTTCGATTTCAGCGCACCAAGCTGCTTTTTTCATACGGCTGCGAAGAAGACCGTATCACTATTTTGCAGTCTGCGCTGTTGTTAACATATTGGGACGACACTTCCGATCAAAGCCAGGACGCCTGGCATTTTGTCGGTCTAGCGAAGACCATTTGGGACTCAATAAACGCAAAACCAACAGATTCCGAAAGGAAATTCATTCAACAACAACCGGGACTTTGGAGTCGAATCTCTTGGTCGTGCTATATCAGAGACCGCCTAGTTTGTCTTCAAATGAGACGCCCATTTCAATTTGACGAAACCGACTTTAAAATCGATGTCCTTCGACCTTCGGATTTTGGAGTTGGCCCCTTGCCGACCAAGTGTTGTCTTGGAAGTGATGGAAGTCATCCAGCGATTAGGGACCCCTCTATGCGAAGTGTTTTGTCTCAAATTAGCATCAGTCTACTGCAATGCTGCCAATGTATTACGCGTATTCTGAACTGCCAATATACACCATATCGGGAGCCAAACCAATCGACAAATTCACCCAGGAGCACCCTTTTACCAAGACGTCCTCATGCAATGAGTGTCGAAGTCTTGCTTCGTGATATTGAGCTTGAAGAATGGCTCACCACTCTACCGGAAGCTCTTCGATGGCACTCGTCCGACCCTGGCTTTCAGATCAGTAAGCATGGAGAGGTTTTTATTCATTTCCGCGCCATGTTCAACGGTATCTACAGTCTTGCTTGCAGTGCTTTGCATCAACCACAGCTTGTCATGAGAGGTTCTAGGCTTCCGGAGCTCATTGAGCTCTCAAAGCGAAGACTTCGCCACTCGGCAAATACCGTCACCCAGGTGTACAAATACATTAGATCCCAGAATCTTATTCATTTATTTTCAGATTCGCAAGTCGCAATGCTGGAAACCGCTCTCATCGCCCATCTGGACGATCTCGAGTCCACAGAGTCTTCGACCCGCCAGTCAGCCATGGAATCTTTTCAATCATGTGTACAAGGATTACAGCATCTCGGAGAAACATTCTCTTCTGCAACATCAGCTCTTGGATCCGTGAATGCTAGTATTCGAAAGACAGCAATTCCACTCGAATTAACATATAGCCAGTTCAATCACACACTGGACGGCAATATTACCAGCCATGACAGAACAATTATGAACCAACGCAACTTTAACGACCTCCCAGAAACCTTTTCTTCCTCGCCCACCATTGCACAGCAACTCGACACCCTTGACCCCCCACAAATGAGCAAGCTCCTTTGCTCCCACTTCATGATGACACCCTCAGAAATAAGTCTCCTACAGAATCTCGCATGCATGGAAGGAGGTAATTTGGACTTATATTCCGATGGTGACATAGCTTCGGATGAGGACTCGTACGCCTCCAGTGCCCGAGGCCTTGGTTCATACCAGTCGCAGCTCCCATCCATACAAGCACCTCCACAGACCGCGATCACAGCCCCCAATCCCCAAGTACACCCTACAGTGGAGCCTTATGGGCATAGTAACGGTGACGATGATTGGAACATCCTGCCGTCATTAGTATTCCCTTCGGATGACGGTTCCAAGATTCATTATACACCCGATGGTGAACATGAGGACATGGCACTTTTTGAGGTTGGACACTACATAAAATTATAGTGGATAAATTTTGATTTCTCATGTTATACAAAATCTTGTTTCAAATCATCAGTCTGGGACTGGTATAATATTAGTTAGCGCATCAAGGCGCTGATAAACTGGCCTCTTTTTGGAACCTTGGAATCGCGATATTACAACCTTATTACGACCTTCCACTGGCCGCATAAAGTTCAAATTTGGAATCTAGGCTCATAGTAGCTATATAAGTATACGTTTTATTTTTAAACAAACTCCAACTGGTAAGGGTCGAGATATCGTGGAAACGGTAAAAATTAATATTTTAATGTTGGATATATATATCCATGGTTTACATGAGAGTACTACTACATTTTAGTGAACATATATAATTTTTGAAAATTCTAAATAAACGCCTTTGTTCACGATTTTAGATATAATATAGAGATAACTAGTAATTTATTCGAAACTATTTAAAATAATAAAATATTACCTTTAGGATGAGACTTAGAAACGGGGGTAAAACGAAGGTAATTTTAAACCCCATCAAAGGGGGTTCAATTTACTAAATTCTGGGTATGTTTGCACTATTTGGGGCCCATTTGGGGGCCATTAACCGTAGTGACGTTCTAACTTAGGCCCATAGCCCATTGGTAGGCCCGAGTTGGGCTTTTTGTGGACTCTGCGGAGGTCTAATATTGGTCACCTACTTCTATCGCGTTCTCTTGTTTTTTTCTGCACCTCAAGCTCTCTCAATCTGTGCCAACTCCCTCTCCGACTTTTCCGGTGCCTCATTCGATGAGGACTGAGGAGTATCAATCATCTCATTCAAGTGACCTCTGTGTTTCACAAATATGTAATCAATCTCTTCGAGGGTCTTTCCGCTTGTCTGCTCTCACAAGTCTGGTCAACAGCCGCCACCAAGATAGATATAACTAATCAAGGGGGTCACGAACCTCAGGCATAAAGAAGTAAACGAATGGAATGCTGAGCGCAGTCATAAAGCAGAAAAGAAGGTAAATTTTCCAACCTGTATTGGCAATGGCCGGGGGTGTCATCTGCGCGATTACCTGCATTAAAGATTAGCCAGATGAAACTGAGTAAAGAATCGACTAGTTCTAACAAAGGTCCATAGCCACTCGGAAAAGCAACCAACGGCTGCACCGACATGGCGAATGTTGAGCGGCGTGATCTCTGGCGCATATAACCAGGGTACTGCATTCCAGCTCATCCCAAAAGATATTTCGTAGATAATAAGCATTCCCAAGGCCAGTCGTGACGATGCAGGCGTCTTCAGTGCAATTCCTACCGTGAACAATACCAAAGCCAGACAAAGCATAGTTGATCCTAACATCAGCACCTTTCGGCGACCAAGTCGGTCAATGAGGAATATCGGTGGGAATGTGCCAACCCAGAATGCGATCTGAATAAACCCAGCTACAAGGCTACTCAGTTCGCGCGAGAGTCCCACATTCGTTTCAAGTACGATGGTAACTAGGCAAAACTTTAGCTTATGATAGACCATTGATTCAAGAATTTCGTCTTACCGTAGAACGCTATCACGTTGATTCCGGTGAATTGTTGGAAGAATTGGATGACAAAACACAATGTCAACCGGCGCGCGTTCTTCATTTCCGTTTTCTCAAACAACAAGTTTGAGATGGATAATTTCTGCCTGTTATTTTGCTCGACTGATAGAGCTTGCTCCATCTCAGCCACAACAGTGCACACGTCGGGATGATCCTGGGACAAAGAAAGCAATCTTGAGAGCACGGATATAGCTTCGTGTTGACGTCCGTGTGAGTATAGCCATCTGCAATTGTCAACAAATCCCGTTTGATTCAATGATTCAATGCGGTAGAATCTACCTTGGTGATTCGGGCAATAATGGCATGGTAATAATGGTGATTAAAGCGAAGAAGTTTTGAAAAGCCAGAGGAAAATGCCAGACAACCTGAAAGCCACCGTGAGCGAGATGAATTCTTTAAGGTGTTGAGTGCAATTACCTCCCCAATTTGAGTGCGAATCATGCCATAGTCTAACCAGTAGGCAAAGACTGTGCCAAACTATTGGAAATCGTTAATAAAGGTGCCACACAGTGAAATATTCAGGTCCCATACAATAACAATCGACATCTGGATAGCGAGCGATCTGCCACGTACGGCGGTTCGGGAGGTTTCAGATACGTAAACGGGGACTGTCGAAGTGTTGATACCTTTTGTTTTAGATTTGCAGATTAGTATGTGAGATCTCGATATTTGTGATGTCAACAGAAATGCACATACCATTGCCAATGCCAGAAATTATGCGACCCGCGATCAGCTGGCCGGCGCTGTATGTACTGGCCTGTATTGCACCGCCGATGACCATAATCACGCAGCCGAGAGTAATAGCATTTTTCCGCCCCAGTCGATTGCCAAAGAATGCTGAAATCACACATCCCATCAAACAACCGATGTTGAAAAGAGCCACTATGGTCCCCAGATACCCAGAGCTAGGATTACCAATAGCTGCCAAGAAACCTGGATATGATACAAGACCACCCAGAACGCCTTGATCATAGCCAAACAACAAGTATGCACTCCCAGCACTCACCGAAATGGCAACTTGTAGCGATCGACCTTCCAGGTTTAGCATAGTTGCAGAATATCAGAATGTTATCATTGCCCTTAACAATGAGTTGTACCACCAGAGTTTTATATCCCCACTCGATTGATGCGTAGATCGGGATATCACTCCCGAAATTACACCCGTAAAAATGCGGGGAGTGTGGAGGCTGATGCTGATGAAGTCCGTATGGAGTAAGTACTCCAGATTATTCTAAGTTGAAAACCGGGGTATACTGCAGTTGCCGAGGCTGTCCATTTTTCTTTTGGACAATATGCAAGGTTAATTTACATGACACTGCTTGCCTGACTCATGCAATTTAGGGTACTATATATCCAAAAACTTAAAAAAGGCTGGCAAGGTTCTAGGCTTTTAACCGGACTGCTTCTCCTTAGACTGGTTAGACCAATGAAATTTGGGCCACTGCATACTTCCCTTCCAACCTTCGAATATTGAACAAGTCACCTGGGCAGTTCCATCGAAAATTAGAGTTATCCGATAAGCGTGAATTTATTCAAATTTCAACCCAAAATATAGGTGTTTTATGCCCACGGCGCGTGTTCTAACTTAGGGAAAGTAAAGCTCATTTCAATAGAAGTAGAAATTTCTATCAAAATATACCAAAAAACTGATGAGATTCCGGTGTAAGTGTGCTTGATGTCTCTTCACGATGCATGGGTTGCCTCTTGGTCTATCTCATTTCACACGCGCGCATTCTCTTCGTGAAAATGCTGAACCTCCTTTTTCTCATTCGAATGTGCGCCGAGAGATTCAGTATTGCTTTGGTCAGCTTCGCTTTCCTTTTGAAACAATAAATCTATCTCTTCCAGTGTCTTCCCAGTCGTCTCAGGGCACAGGAAGTAGATGAACGGCACGGCCACTGCACATGAAAGGAGGCACCAAAGCCACAACTTCCACCCAACTTTCTCGAGCCCAATACCCCCGGCAAAAACAGTGATAAAACAGAAAAGCCATTCTCCAAATGCACTGGCGGCACCTCCGATGTGGCGGAATTGTAATGGAGCGATCGTGTAGGGTGTCAGCATGCTAAGCCTACCTTTCGGAAATGAGGCTTTAGATAAAGGCTTACCTCGGGCCCATATAACCAGCAAACGCCAATCCATCCATATCCAAATATAAAATTGTATACAATGATGGCTGCGACTGCAACCCATTGCTTTGCCAGTGTTGGTCCGGGGGATCCGATCATGGCGACAAAAATACTGAGACAGATTGTTAGACCTCCAGCGGAGTACATCAATATATTCCTCCTTCCAAATTTTTCAATGGTTGAAGGAAGGAAGAAAGAACCGATTGCGAAGATAGTGTTCATCACAGCAGCGAGAAGCTGGGATAGCGTGGAGGAGAGGCCAATCTGGGCAAATATTTTAACACTGTAGTAGACAGCCACGTTGATTCCTGTATACGATGAGAAGAAAGGTCGACAGCAAATTGATGGAAATGGATTGGACGTACCCATCATCTGCTGCACAGACAAGATCAAGAAAGCAATGCGCAATCGTCGTCCCACCCGCAAGTTAGTTCGATCCCAAAATAGATCTAGCGGATTCAAGGTTTTGGTTTCCTCGGACTCAAGTTCGAGGGATTCTAATATTGACTCTCGCATTGTTTGGACATCAGAATCCAAGACTGGTCGGTCAAAAAGACGAGATAAGACCTCGTCCCCTTCCTCTAGACGACCGCGAACGTAATACCATCGAGGTGTGTCCGGCAACAAAAACATCCCCACGCCCGAGACAGCGCCAAGGACGGCTTGGAATCCGATGGGGATGCGCTATGAATATTGAGCGGCTGTATAACGACATATAATTAAAAAAAATCCTTACCCATGAAACCTGATTGTCAAGGCGTGTGAAGCCAAAGTCCACCCAGTACGCGAACGCACAGCCGCTCACAAGGAATATGCATTGGAACGCTACCTCGGGCCCTCGTTCTTTTTCCGTGAGACTCATCTCGGCCTAGGAGCATATCAAGTCAGTCACTCTGCATAGCATGTTGAGTGCTCATCTCAACCATACCATATATGTTGGTACCGCACAGGAAATAAACTGTCATCATAAATTTGTTAGATAAGCGATTCACCAGTCGGGGATATACGAACACCAATGCCAAATCCCTGTTATCTCGTCTGTTAGATATGTAACTCCCTCAATCAACGAAATGACTTACACAAATTACCCGTCCAACGATTATTTGAGGTACCGACCAAGACGAGGCTTGCAAACTCCCTCCGACGATTACCAACATGTCACCCATGACTATACATCCTCGTCGGCCTAAGGGCATCCCGAGCCATGATACTGCAAGTGCACATATTGTGGCAGCAAGGGTATAGCTTGATGCCACCATTGGAATAATGTAAGGACCGGTTGGGTTCTCCAACGGTTAGCCTATCATCATCATCAATTAAGTCCACCCGCCACATACCCCAAGAGCCTCGCGAAAAGGGCGTGTTTCTTGAACTCCGCCTAGAACTCCGGCATCGTATCTCTTTTTTTTTTTTTAGTTTCCATAGGAAAAAATTGAGGTTTTAGTCTGTTGCGTACCCATACAGTCCAAAGGCCTGTGAAATGGTTAGTCGGGATATTTTGTGGAGTTGTGTGGACATAGACCCACGTACCATGCAACAGCAGAAACGCATGACACGATATAACGCTTTCCCTCTGAGGGCTTTCATGATGAGTATATACTTGTTGTTCGGACTTCAAATGCGAGGAAAGATTTTGATTTGGAGATTCAAGGCAAGAAAGAAATCAATGGCTTCTGGGTTTTTATATATCAAGCCTGCAAGTTAATAAGATAGTATGCATGAATTTTAACTGAGACCCCACTACGGTCTGGGGTAAATCTGGGGCCGGGGTAAAAGTTTATGTCATTGACTCTGTTCATTAGTGCGCCGATTAACGCTCCTTTTTGATGACTACTAACTACATGGCCAGTGGGCCGGGTTTACAATCCCGCGGACAGGAATATATGTCAACTTTTGGACACTTACTATCGCCGCCGTTCACTTCCTCGGCCTTTCGGCCGGGCAGTTAGATTTCCTAGGCAGCTGTTGAGCTTCCCCACGGCATTCTCGCCCACCTGGTTCTCATGATGGGCGGTTTCGTCGTCGGTCCACACCGAGTGGGCCAGTGCTCGATTATATAAATCCAATACCCAAGAAAATGTCTCGCATGCTTCTTCTGGAAGTTCATACAAAACCTTCGCTGTTATTCTCATGATGAATAGTCCAGATGTTATCGTTATCGGTGCTGGGCCATCGGGAATTGCTCTGGCACACACCCTGAAGCACAGGTTAGGGTTCAATGACTTTACTGTACGTCACAAAGAATGGGAAAAAAGAATTGGACAGAAGAGAAAAGGCAAGACTTACCGTGACATAGTTCTACGACAAATTGGATGGCCCGGGTGGAACATGGAGACAAAATACATACCCAGGGGTGTACGGACTATTCTACCCTGACTTGTGGTGACTTTCCTAACTAGTTCAATCTACACAGGGGTTGTGATGTGCCTACGCTACTATACTCGTTCTCGTTTAATCAAAACCCGGATTGGTCGAAGGAACTATGCGAAGGCCCCGAGATCCTCGACTGTGTGTTGGACTACCCCAGATTAAAATACCGCAAGAATTCACACTGACACGCGGTATAACTCAGATATGGAAGCCACCGTCGACAAGTTTGATCTCCGAAAGCACATGCAGTTCGGAGTTGAATGTATTTCCGCATCCTGGAACAGTCAAGGGTTTTGGGAAGTTCAGCTCCTCGATATCAAGACACAAGTCAAATATACCAGAACCGCCACCGTGTTTATATCTGCCGTTGGTGGTATCTCCAAACCCAGAGACATCAAGTTCTCTGGGATGGAGAAGTTCAACGGCGAAATCTTTCACACCGCACGATGGAATCACGAGTTTGACTACCGCGGAAAGAGACTCGCAGTTATTGGCAACGGATGCAGCGCAGCCCAAGTGGTTCCTGCCATCGCAAAAGACGCTGGGTGTGTCAAGCAGTATGCCCGGAGTGCGCAGTGGTATCATGAGCGGCCGAACCGGAGTTTCACTCCTTTCGAGAAGTGGTGTCTCCGCAACATTCCACTATGGGAGCGTTATCTCCGCTTGCGACTGTTCCTTAGTAGTGACAGCCTTGTAGCTACCTACCTACCCGGAAATGCCGCCGAAAAGCTGCGTTCGAAGGCTGAGAGCGGCGCCCGTCAGTACATTCATCAGACCGCGCCTAAGAAATATCACAAGTTTCTTGTGCCCGACTTTCCTCTCGGTAAGCCCATTCCTTCTTCCCATTTGGAATTCAAGTCCACATTCTGATAAAATCTGATTAAGGGTGCAAGAGGCGTATATTTGACCCCAACTACTTGGAAAGCCTTCATCGCAGCAATGTCGAGTTGGCACCAGTTGGAATTGATCACATTGACGAGACGGGTATCACTGGGACTGATGGCGTGAAAAGTGAATTTGATGCGATTGTGCTTGCCACCGGCTTTGATGTCCAACAATTTGTTGTACCTATGGAAGTCTATGGCAAGGATGGCAAAAGCCTCTCTAGGCAATGGTTAGAGTCCCGTGGTGCACAAGCGTATATGGGCGTCTATGTGCACAACTTCCCAAATTTTGGTCTACTGTATGTATTAGCCAGCCGGGTAATGAGTCCCCAAACTGACAACACTTTGCATAGCTTTGGTCCGAATACCTTCCCGGCACATAACTCCGTACTCTTCGCTTCCGAGGTGCAAGTCGACTATCTTGCTCGAACACTGCTTGCGCCTATTATAGACCGCCGGATTTATTCGCTGGAAGTCAAGCCCACCGCAGAGAACCAGTGGGTGAACGCCTTGCAGGCTGAGCTCAAAGGAAGTGTCTTCGAAGCAGGATGTTCCAACTGGTATATTAACCCGCATGGACGTAACTCTGCATCCTGGCCGGGCTATGCGTCTACATACTGGAAAGAAGCCCTCAAGCCACAGATTGGTATGTTCAAGGAGGTTCCTCGGTCCAACCTCTGGATGCTCAATACTGTGTGGCGATGGATTAGGAGCACAAAGAAAGAGACCTATGGCATGGTTCTTTTCGCTATTGCGGGATTCCTTTGGCATCAAAAGGGCAGCTTGGCCCACCAATTGCCGCACATTTACCAGAGACTTGCGTCTTCAATTTTGTAAAGAGTGATTTTGTTCAAACTTTTGCTGCTCCTTGGTTACCTGGCACTTCTTGCTGCTCAGCTGTTACGCTCTTGTTTCTGTTTAGAATATTGACATTGCAAATTTATTTCGTCGCTTGACTTTGGACCATTCATTCATAATACCACAAATAACGGCCATTTAATGCCATTTAATGCCATAATATGTTAAATTTCTAGTCGCATAAGTTGAGGTGACCTGCCTTTCACTCCTATACTTTAGTGAAACGACTTTAGACTTTGGATTTGGTATCGATAATATCATAATTTCCTGGAGAGGTAAGGCTTGGAAGGTTCAAGTAATGGACAACTGGAGGTTGATATTCCCACTGATTAAGTATCCTATTATTTGAAAGGTTTGACTTCCTGTTCTTCCAATAGGATCAGACTTGGATCAATATCAAACGGTGCCATCGCTAGTCCTCGTCCGGGCTGCCTCTCAACTATTCAACAGACTTATCAAGCATGCACTCCTGCATTTCTGATTTGCACTCAACTGCTCACACAACTGATAGGTACGGACAAAAGGGATACGGTGGTCGACAAGTTGTCAGGTAAAATACCACCTGACAACTTGACAACTTGACGACTACCGCATCGGACCAAAGGGTTAGACGACAATGAGAGATCCGAGGAAATGTAAACCCGTGGGAAAACTACCCCGAACATGGAGCCACACCTGACAGATCAACAATATACCGATCTTGGGTACATTTGGAACAGTCACTCCCACGGTAGCACTCAAATACACAGTATTGCTCAAAACTACCAGTCTGCCTGAAGGAAGTCTAACCTGCCCATTCAACATTCAAAACTGAACAGGCGTGTCCACCGACATTCCTTTCAATTCTCTAACGAGCCTGTCGAATAGTCACCTATAAGTCCTCACTGCCGTTAAAATGATACAGACCCGTCTGGCGTTCCGAATCCCTGCAATGCTTCCTCGCCCAAGGGTATTGCCAACTGGCAGGACATTAAGTGCTCCCGGTCACATATCGTCAAACCATGCAACAATCACAAGACATACGTTCAGCACCGGATTTTACCGGCTCTCCAATATTTCAAATACCACACGGGAACTGATAGAGTCGAAATTGTCACTCAGTGGTAGGGTGACTGTGATAACCGGTTTGCATTAGACTAGCACCTGCTATATGAACACTACTGACCTTTTCCTGGCAAGGGGGATCACGAGGTATTGGCTTAACCTTGGCTAAAACAGCGGCGGCACTAGGCAGTCATGTCGCTATTTTAGACGTTCACGAACCAGAAACGAGTGTTGCCCAGCTGGAAAGGGACTATGGTTCCCGCTTTATCTTTCATCGGTAAGCTTTGAACCAAAATCTATACCATTTTACAGAGGCTAATGCCGCACTTCTAGAATGGATGTTACCTCAAAGGATGGCATGGAGCTTGCCTTTGATAAAGTGATTGAGGACCTCGGCAAGGTCGATAACTGGTAAGTTTCGCGAAATCATTCATTTGAAGACCTTTTGAATATGTAAAGCTTACCGAGCGTTTCACCATAGTATTACCTGCGCTGGGATTGCACTTGACAAACCTTTTCTCGAACACACATGGGAAGAGTCTCGTCGCATTCTCGATATCAATGTATGGTGAATTTACACGGCCATTTACGCATGTTCTGCTGACAATAAATGCAGGTCCTTGGGTCCTTTTTCTCAGCACAGCTGGCCGCCAAGCAAATGGTCAAGCAAGGCAACGGTGGATCTATCGTCATGATTGCTTCCATTGCTGCCCATTGTGCCATACCAGCTCAGCGAGTTTCAATCTACGGTGCCTCAAAGGGCGCCATCAAGCTTTTGGGGAAGACACTTGCGGTTGAGATGGCCCCGTTCAACATTCGCGTGAATACTATCTCGCCTGGGTTCATCGCAACGAAAATGTCGGCGCAATTCACGGATCTTCAAGACGTATTCAGAACAGCACCCCCAATGGGACGTATTGGACAGCCCGAAGATCTCGCATTTGCCGTAGGTTATCTGCTGGGGGATGGGGCTTCATATACAACAGGTACAGATATTGCTGTGACTGGAGGACTGCACAATGGTCGGATTGAGATTTAAAAAGCTGTGAAATATGAGCACAGAGCCGATGGGGACACAACAACATCGCTAGTATCTATGGAATAGTGAAAGGGGATTTAGCTCGGAGTAGCAAGAAGTATGAAGCACACAGGTCTATGGAAGCTCCCCAGTTATCCCTCGCAACATCGCAGTCAAGAAAATCCGTGAATAGATTGAAGTATCAATACCACAAATTACGACTGTTGACAAGGATAAGAACGGGAACAATGAATATGGTGGGGACGCTGCTAGATTTGCTAAGAATCGATGAAGTAGAAATGGACGTTATTTCCAGTGTTTATGGTAGTTTAATAACCCTTATGATTAGAGTTGGGAAGGACATTTGAGATGTTGGTCCAAAACGACGAAGATTATCAATCCTCGGAAGCAAAAGTATCATATACCTTTCATGGGCGGAATTCAGCTGAATCCTGGGGGCTTTTTGGAGCGTAAACCATTCATATAAGTTAATAATGAACAGATTCTACGTGCTGGCGTAAATTCTTTACTTATTGTGCCTCGGTGATACCTATAACCTGATCTGCTACATCTTTGTCATATGAGGTTTCTTGCCATGATGGCCTTTGGCTGATCCAATACTTCAATTAGAAAACAATCTCATTTCCATAGTAACAATCTACAGCTTAGAGGGTCGCTCGTACTCCTCAAGCTGAATTAACTTGCGGCGCAGTATCTTCCCAGACAAGTTGCGAGGAATGAGGTCTGTGAATCTGACACCACCCCGCAGCTGTTTATGAGAGGCTAAATTATTGTGCACATGCATTTTAACATCTTCCTCATTTATCGGGCTCTTTCCGGGTTTTCGGACAACGAATGCGCGTGGGATCTCATTGCCGGCAATCTGAGGGTCTGGGATCCCTACAACACCAACATCCAGAATTTGATCGTGTTCGAGAAGAACTGCCTCGATCTCCGCTGGAGCTACTTGCAACCCTTTGAATTTTATCAACTCCTATGAGAAAGTTAGATAAGAACATGGGACCAAGTACATTCAAGAACCAACCTTCTTTCGATCGACGATATAAAACTTGCCATCCTTGCGAATGCCGATATCCCCTGTACGAAACCACCCATCTACAGTAAAGGCTTCTGCTGTGGCTTTGTCATTTCCCCAATACCCGGCCGTAACGTTGGGGCCACGAACCAGAATTTCGCCCGGGTGACCATCCGGGACAGGGTGTTCGCTTTCGTCAACAATCTTCAGCCGCGTGTTTGGTAACAGCTGACTGATACTGCCAGTACTGTCCTCCCGATCCCAAGGAAGCCAAGTGACTGCCCCTGTAGTCTCGGTAAGTCCCCAAGCCTGACTTATCTTGCACTTGAGTTTAGACTCGGCCAACTTCTGTAGCTGTGGACCCATTGGGGCAGCACCTGACTGGGCATGCTCAAGGCTGTGGAACTCATCCGATACGGACGCACTTTTCGCAATACGCAAGTATACAGAAGGTACAGTGGAAACGAAGGTGGGCCGGTGTCTTTTCGCTGCGCGAACAAAGTCGTCAAAAACGTACTTGGCCATCCAAAACACCGTCCCACCCATCATTGTACCGTTAATGAAGTAGCCTTGCAGTCCAGAAATGTGGGCAGAAGGAAGGTGTGCAATGGTGCGATACTGAAAGTCCGAGCGGCTCTGTCGTCCGGAGCGACTGAGGTAGGTCTCAATGGCTGTCTGAGTGATGATGGCCTCGGACACAAAGTTCTTGTGTGAGATTCGTACGCCTTTTGGCACACCTGTGGTACCGCTGGAGTAGAGTAGGGCGACCACTCTATTCCTCAGAACGTCTTCTTCACTGATTCTTGCCCAGGCAAATTGCCTTGTATCTTTGAGATAATTTCGACTGCTATCAACGGACGGGTTCAAGACCCTGTCAGCACCCATAGAGCGAAGGATCAGCACACGGTCCAGAGCGATGTTGGATATCCTGGCCGCCTCAATAGCTATAGAAGCCGTATCTTCAGTGGCAATAACGAGATTGCTTTTGCTACTCTTCAGCTGTCGGACAAGCTCTCTTGTTGTCAATGCAGTGGAGGCAGCGGAGTATATACTCTCACTTGCAATGACAGCAAAGAAAATCGATGGAGACAGGAGATGATTTGAGCAAATGCAAGTCACCACATCTTTGCCTGCACCTGAAATCCCCAGCCCAAATTCATTCCTCAAAACAAAAGCCAATCGGCGGACGATGACGGCGGTCTCAGCTTTGGTGATATGGTTTATCTCATTGCCCGCTTCTGCATGAATAACAGTTTCGCTCTTTGCCCAACAATACGGGGAGTCTGCATGAGTCAGATTTTGTTTTTCATTTAGATTCATTGGGTATTTACCAAATACTAGACTAAGAATATCCAGATTGGGAATATCGGCGTCGATTTCAGGTAAATAATGCATGATGTTGGTGAACGGGCAAGATACCGATATTGGAATGTGGCAATCCCTGTATCACCTGGCAAACACCACCACTACCGGAAGTATCTCTTAAATATACTGGCGTAGTCAGTCACGCCAACTCTTCGGGTGTTCAATCTTGCAACCCTTTGGCCATCGGATAGACCGAGGTCCTGGCCGCCAATTGTCTATTGGGTAATTTTGTCCAAAATGCCGTCCATATTGGCGCGGATCTCGGTGCCTGTATATTTGCTTCAGCCTATAGAAAAAGGACTCAGGAACCTAAGTCCGATAAAAGATTTCACCTCAATCAGTCCCTTGCAATGTCTGCAGGGTACAAATTCCCCTCCCAGGAGGTGTCCTGGCTCCGCCGGGATGTGCTTCTTTTTGCCAACAGTATTGGCGTCCCCGCTGCAGACCTCCATTTTCTCTACGTTCGTCAGCTAAATTCCTATATTCAAAGGGGCAAATCGGATGACATGTTTTAACAGGAACTACACCCCCGATTTATGGTGTTTCCGACATACCCATTACTCTTGCGTAAGTACTATGTCGCAGATGAGTCGCCTGCCAACCATGCTGATACTAAAACTTTCGATTCACAGCATTCAAACTCACCGACCAAGAGGTGGTCGAGTTCTATAACCGTAATGCCACGAACACCATCCCTGGAGCCCCCGATTTGGACCTTCGTTACGCTGTCGACGGACAGCGCGAGCTAACAATCTACAAACCACTTCCGACGGCAAGCACAGGGTCCAAATTTGAGCTTCAAAACAAAGTTATTGGAATATACGACAAAGGCTCAGCCGGCAGTGCCTTTGATACAGAGCAAACGATTGTCGATTCCGTGACTGGCGAAGTGTACACTACGACGCGAAGTGTTAGTTTCGTCCCGAAACAAGGAAATTGGGGTGGACCGAGAGGTAAGCAAATCGATCTAAGAACTAGAGAGTTTTGATATAGTTCAAATTTTGACTTCAGTATTACTGGCCTCCCAGGCCCCAAAATGCCTCTCCATCCTGTCCCAAATCGAGCACCAGATGCAAGATACGAAGTCCAAACCACGGATAACACGGTTTTTCTCTACCGGTAATGATATCCGTTTCATCATTGTTTGTTGGTAGTGAGAACTACTAATGTTTATATAGTCTCAATGGTGACTACAATCCGCTTCACGCAGTTCCAGGCCCAGGGCTAGAGATGGGACTCGGTGGCGTCATTATCCATGGTCTTTTCACATATAGCTCTACATGTTATGGAGTTGTGAGTAAGATGTGTGGTGGCGATGCATCTCGACTCAAAAGTTTTGGGGCCAGATTTGCTTCTCCTGTTAAACCCGGCGACAAGTTGACCACGACCATGTGGTCGATGGGTATGACCGACGGACTGGAGGAACTCAGATTCATAACAAAAAACCAGGAATCAAGAACTGTGTTGAGTAATGGGAGGGCACTTTTGCTTCCTAGAATCAGTTTATCTAATCTATGATCTATGATTGAGCTTAGATCTTCAAATCTCAGTTTATCCGAGCGTCCGCGGTTTTTCAATTTCATCCTCACCTTATCCCAATGGTTACGAGTGTACCTCGGTAGAACTCGCATGTATTTTGGCACAGTAGTCTAAACAGGTAGCCCGTATTCTTGCAATACCAACAAGAAATTTAGGGGAACTAAGGTCTGATATATCTATCGCACAGTGTAGAAGGGTACCCCCAAAGAATACACCCCTGGCGAGGAAAATATATACTTCACCATTTCCTGCTAAATTCTGCACATTGGTGCAAACTAACTTTGTTTGCTTTCTGTTTCTCTGCCTTTCAAGAAGAAAGAAGAACCCCGGTAAGTGCATCGGAGATCTTTCCGACTAACCGCGGCCTATACCCTCGGCATCCTGGGATAGTAATTCCGGTTGCGAAATTTGGACAAACTAGCGTAAGCAGCCTATGGTACTTAGGTATACAAGTAAGCACCATCGGAAAGTGTCTTTTTGCAATTCATTTGATCTTGCTCACATATATTCTGAAAGTGCAAAACCAGTCTCCATATCATTTCAAGTCCACCATGAATAATTCTCTTCATCAATTACCGGTTCAAATAGCAAACCCTACGCTTTTTGACAGTCGCGGATTTATTGCAGGCAAGTGGAGATACGCAGCTTCAGAGAAGAAATTTCCTGTGACAGAGCCCTCCTCTGGTCAGGTTCTGGCCCATTGCGCGGACTTTTCTCAGGAAGAGTTTGTGGAAGCCATCGAGGAAGCCGACCATGGATTTCGAAAGTATTTCCATCAGACCACTGCCAAGCAAAGAAGCTCATTTCTGCGCAAATGGAACGACCTTATCTTGGAGAATCTTGACGATCGTGAGTGGAAACCAGTTTCTTCCAAATATTCTAGCTAATAACGACTGTATAGTTGCCAAGATACTCTCTCTAGAGAATGGCAAGACACTATTAGAAGCAAAGGGCGAGGTGGCATATGCAGCATCTTTTGTTTCATGGTTTGCCGAAGAAGCAGTTCGATCATATGGAGACGTCATCCCATCTTCTTACCAGAACACAACTGCGTTGACTTTCAAAGAGCCAGTTGGTGTCTGTGGTATAATCACACCTTGGAACTTCCCTGCGGCTATGATAACTCGGAAGATCGCACCTGCATTTGCGGCAGGCTGTTCAGTTGTCATCAAACCACCGAGCGAGACACCGTTTACCGCGATCGCATTGGTTAAGCTTGCTCTAGAAGCAGGATTTCCGCCTGATATCGTGCATGTTGTACCGACCAAAGATCGCAATGCTTCCTTGGAGTTGGCCACGCACCCTAAGGTTAAAAAGATAAGCTTCACTGGCTCAACCAACGTTGGCAAAATGCTCACCAAGCTTGCTGCTGGTACCATGAAGCGAGTCAGCATGGAGCTTGGTGGGAATGCGCCTTTTATCGTTTTCGATGATGCAGATATCGAAAAAGCCGTTGAAGGAGCATTAATTTGCAAGTTCCGCTCTTCTGGTCAGACTTGCGTTTGTGCAAATCGCCTTTATGTGCATCAAGATGTCTTAGAGGATTTTACTCAGCGATTGATCTGTCGAGTCCAATCATTCAAATTGGGGCGTGGCATCGATGAAGGCATTACCCACGGCCCTCTTGTCAATGCTGCCGCTGTGGAAAAAGTTAAGAGTCACGTAGCGGATGCTATCGAAAAGGGGGGCCAACTCCGATACGGTGGTGCGGTGCCGGCTGATACTTCTGGGTATTTTTATCAGCCAACTATTATCACCAATGCCCATAAGGACATGCTCCTTGCGACCGATGAAACATTCGGTCCTCTCGCAGCCATTTTCGCTTTCTCTTCCGAGGAAGAAGTCATTGAAATGGCTAATGACACCGAATTTGGCCTGGCAGGTTACTTTTTTAGTGAAAATATCAATCGTGTTCTTCGCGTTGCACAGCGGTTGGAATGCGGCATGCTTGGTGTGAATACTGGCTTGATTAGCGCAGCCGAAACCCCCTTTGGAGGAGTCAAGGAGAGTGGAATTGGACGAGAGGGAAGTAAATATGGGCTCGGCGAATATCAAAATATCAAGGCTGTAACTATTAGAGGTTGATATCCTTGGTTTATATTGAGTTGGGTGAATGACAGTAGTATTGGAAATCTCCAGATAGTCCTAAAGGATGATTGTAAAGTACCTACATATGTAGTACCTCTGGGGTAGATAAATTGTTGAATTTATGTTAAAATTGCCCCTCTCATCATCCGTTTCAGCGACTACATGTACTCAGCCGGTAGTTAACTAACCGTTAAATTGGGACGCGGGGAAGAATAAGCGGGGCCTTGAAGAAGCGGGGTTCCGGGGACTCTAGGGCTCCGGGTAGTTCATCGTGAGGTCAGCAAAAGGGCCCGGGGCATGGATCCCCGACCTTCCCCACAACAATCTTCCTTCGGGATCCACGATAGCAAATCTGTCGTGTCAACCGTCCTTTCCCCTTGCAAGACAACCTAATCTGGTGAACTAGGTGAACTAGAGCCTCGCATCCTTAACATTGTTCTAGAGGAAAACGTTCACGACTTTTGTCCCACACCATGGTCGGAACATCACCTCTCGATGAGTTCGGCTCCGAGACCCGATCAAAAGCAATAAAACATGTCACCCGCGCTTGTAGTAGTTGCCAGAAGCGCAAAACGAAATGTGACGGATTGAAGCCGCAGTGTTCTGTCTGTATGCTGTATAAACGGGACTGTGCCTATTCACAACAGATCGACAAGCGCAGAATGGCATCGAAAGGGAAAATTTCGACATTGGTGACCTATGTACAAGCTCTCGAATCTTTGCTGCTGCGTCATCATATTGAATTTCCATCTGGCCGGCCGGGAAACTTCTTACCTCCGTTGCCTTCACCTTCTCCCTCTGCCCCCGACCCTGAACTCGAACCGACCGAGACGGTGCAAGGGGTGACTGATGGTACGGCTCCTACGATCGAGAAATCCATATCCCCTGTGTCAAACAATAGTCCAGATGATATCCAAGATCATCTATCCATCTCCGCGGAATCATCATACCATATCAATCCCTTGGCCGACCGCATGGGGTCATTGCAGATTGCAGAAGATGGGCAGCTGCGACTTTTTGGGCCAACCTCAAATCTTCACATATCACACGTCGGTCCCTTTCCACTTTTCAACTCAAACATTCGTTTAGTCCACTGGAATGAGGCTCTCATCCTTACGGCAGCTGGAGTCAATAGTCATGTTGACAAAGAGCTGGAAGATCATCTGACCAAGCTATACTTCGCTTGGGAAAATCCGAATATTCCATTGGTCGACGAGAGGGCTTATTATGAAGGAAAGAATTGCTACAGAAACCTCAATCAACCGAATCATCGATATTCTGAGGTTTTGAATAATGCCATGTAAGTAGGCAAAACTATCCCGCGAACACCGCTACGATAAAGCTTCGCTAATACAATGGAAATTTAGATGTGCTGTTGGGGCTACTTTGACTTCTCGCTATTGCCCTGATCTACCAGAATCCCTTGTTGATTTCTTTGCGACAAGGTCCAAGGCCCTCTTAGAGGTTGAAATGGACTCGCCAACTCTGAGTACCGTCCAGTCTCTTGGTATCCTAAGTGGCGTGGAGGCACTTCTCACAAGAGATGCTCGTGGCTGGCTCTATAGTGGTATGTGTGATATGAAAAAGAATTTTGCTGGTTCTGACTACCTTATCTTCTAGGGATGGCAATGCGGCTTGCCACAGACCTTGGCCTCCATATTGATGCTGCTCCTTTCGCTGAGCGTGGCCTGATAGACCTTGAAGAAGCTCGCCTCCGCAGCTCTACATTCTGGGGGACTTATGCCCATGAAAGGTTGGATTGATCTTAATCTAACGAGAAAGGTTATCATATACATACTTACCTGATTGCAGGATGTGGAGCTTATATGTTGGGCGCCCCGAAGCCATTGACCACTTAGATATTACTGTACAACTCCCTTCCCCAAGCAGCTCTCAGCCTGATGTGAACCATGTTTGGCGCCCATACATTGACGAAAACCAACAAACCAACAATTGGGAGTCTCCGGCGTTACTTCATGAAGTGGCCCATGGGACGGTCACACTTTGCACTAAAATGGCCTCAATACGCAAAGTCCTGTAAGTCGAAGCCCACGCTAAGTTTATCTTTCGCATCGGCTAACCTATTTTATAGTTACAGTATCCCTCGAGGGACCAAGCCCGATATCAAGAAACTTTACGCGTTTGCAACTAAAGCAAGAGACGAGCTTGCCATGTGGGTGTCTGGATTGTCGGAAAGCGTGTCTGTGGATATGATGGATCTTGGTCGCATTCACCTTCCCCACGTCCTGCAGTTGCAGTATGTACTCGGTCGTTAGGTCGTTGGCACAGTATTCTAATTCCAAAACAGTATGCAATTCCATGCCGTTCGAATTATTATCGATCAACCCTTCGCCTTCCAAGTACCTAGCCTAGGAGGCTTGACCGAGGAAAACATAACCCACAGCCGGGAATGCTGCCATGATGCTGCTCTTTCCATCACCAAGCTTCTTCAGGCTATTCGTCGCCATTTCTCGCTCCGCCGAGTCAATATCCAGACCGTTCATCTTATATTCACAGCAATGCTGGTGCACACTCAAAGCGCCTTCCTATCCCCCGATTTCCAGATGCGCGACACAGCGCGAAGACAACTCGAAATCTGTTCGCAGGCTCTAGGTGAGATTGGCCAAGCTTATAAGAATGCACTCCGAGCCTTGGAAGTGATCACTTCTATTAAATCCGAACTTCTTCGCCAGGAAAGAAGGGAATCCACTAGCGGTCTTAGTATTATCGGTCAGTCAAATTCCATAAGCTCAATGGTCGCCCTGGGTCAAATCCAATCGGGATTGTTCGGTGTGGAACCGGGGGAATCACAATCGTGGCCGGATAATCTTACTAGCAATTCGTTGTTTAATCTTTGCGGGAGTATGCCAGACGCCGACTTGGACCGGTGCGCTTCTATGGCCGATCAAATTCCTCTTCCCGAACATTCTTCATGGGCACCATGTGTTGACTCCTCTGCTCCTTTGTGCCCTGAAGGAAATGGCCTGGCAGACTCTTCAATGCATTAATGTACTTGTTCCATATGTACTTCCACTATTAAACCATGTTTGTCAAAATTGCGAGCTAGAAGATTGAACAATACAGACATTGGCCAACTTCAAAACCAGCGTGTCATCTCTCGCGAGCTCTACGTGTCACTCGACCTGCAGCTCCGAGAGCTTGTTTCTCACAGCCAACAACAACTCTATCCCCCTTCTCTCTGGCCTTCATTCTGGTGGATTTCATTCTGGTGGACTTCATCAAACGCAAGCAATCCCATGATTGTACAAGTGTTATGAGAATAAAAATGCAGCATACAAGAACATTGTTTATCATACGTATATCCCGATTCTAGGTGCACTTTAATAGCCGATTTATGGATGGTAAGCTGTTACTAATCTTCGTTGTGAATATTCCTGAATGCTCTCATATAAAATTCGAATTATGACGAGTTGATCGAAACACACCAAGAACGAATTTACCAGCAATGATGTTTTACAGCTCAAATTCTTCCGCGGGCTAAGAACTTGTCAGGAATGTCAACATATTTACACCGAAGGTATTCCGCTACATTCTTGCCCAAAACGTCGTAGGTGGAGCTTGATGCCACGCCGCGATCCAAGTGATCCTTCAAGAGGAAATGGACAGCTATAAAGAGAAGAAATTAATTAGTATCCAGTCAAGTCTCGTCAATTTGCCAACTTAAGAACGCGAGACTCACCCCAGATGTTTGGCAATTCAAAGCGGAAGATCTTGTTCCCCGTATCATCTTTGCCGAGCAACGCTCGAATTTTGTCGACTGTGAGAACACTTCGCAGCCAATCCCATTCATCGGCATGGCGGACAAAGAAACCTACATTAGCATCGGATCCTTTGTCGCCAGATCGAGCGTGAACCACGTAGCCCAGTGGTGCGCGGGTGGTGGGACCAAAAACTTCCAAATCGAAAGGAGCCTTGGTCTCATATGACGACTGCTCATAAGTGAATGTAACAGTATCCGACGGAGGGGGATTGTAATTTGTTTGTTGTTAAAGGGAATATGGGAAATGTGACGCATCCGATCTTGTGGGAAGATAGAAACGAAATACTCGTAGTAAGGCTTTGGAACGCCCTGGCGAGCATCCACGGCAAATGTTGCTCCTGGGTAGCTCTGCATAATTGTGTCTGTGCATGGTCGGAAGAATTTTTCCGTTGCGAGAGCACTTTCGGAGCGTGATTGAGCAAAGATTCGCACGTCCACTGTTGCTGCATCTTGGCTGGAAGGATCGGACGCGCAGGATCCACTTGTTCGGAAGACCAAAGTATGGTAGAGCGATTCGTCAAGGAGGTGACGGACCTGCTTTTCAAGAAGTGCAGCCTTTTCTTCGATGTCTAAGCCACAAAGGAAATAGTGGACCTCAGCTTGGAAACCACCGAGTGCCGTAATGCCAATTTTTGTTGTCGGAGGCGGTTTGATACTCTTGACATTGGAGACATGACTACTGCGTGTTAGTTCATTCTAAAAAAGGCGAAAGGTTGGGGAGTATCTTAATAAGAACATACACACGATTGATGCCCTCTTCCTTGATGATTATATCATCCAAGATAGCCACAACATCAGGATTGTAGTAAAGAGGTCCTTGAATCTCATATAGAAGTTGAGCCTTGCAAGTACCCTCGGTAACCATACCGTCTTTGCCCTTTTGGATTGTTACAACAAAGTCACCTCCCGCATTGATCTCAGCAACGGGGAAGCCAATGTCAACCCCAGGACCAGGCAATGATTTGAAGCCAGAAAAGTTACCACCGGTAACATATGTAGAGCATTCGAGGAAATGTCCAGCCACGAAGGCATGGGCGAGCTGATCAAAATTTTGTCTGCTCCACTGGTAGTGATAAGCCGCACAGGCAATTGTAGGAGAGGCATCTGTCACTCTTCCACAAAGAACAATGTCAGCACCTTGGTTGAAGGCCTCAACAATGCCCCATGCCCCAAGGTAACATTGGGCGTAAATCGGATCGAACTCCCAGTCAGACAATTTTTGCCCTACAGCACATTAGTCACTTGGAACACCATTTGCGCTATTTATATTGTTGATACAGGGCCTCTTACCGGTTGTAAGGTTGGTAAACTCTTCACCCGCTTCAATGGCCTGGTTAAGGAGGTCGGAAACCTCGTCCCCCTCAACCCACGCAACCTTGAGGTCGAGACCTTTGTCAAGTATAGTCTTAACAAGGATATCGTGGAGCTTCTTCGTGTCACTGGCCCCCGCATTCACGGCAACTTTAACCTTTCGTGTAGAGATACTAGCCAGTGCGGGTTCAATCGATTCCATGAACGAGGTTTCGAATTCCGAGGACTGCTCATTCTGTTTCACTTTTGCTCCGCCTCGAGTTGTCATGTTATACTCCGACATCCAATCTCCCACAATGAAGTGTAGATCTTCTTCTTGGGCCAGCTCCGCTAGTCCATGGCGTCGGTCAGTCACCGATCCAGAGGCGGATGCAATACGAAGAGTATCGAGCTTTGTCACAGTCATGATTATTTCCAGTATAGACAATAATAAAAATGATTTAATGTTATGAAACACCCCATATTATCTCAACAAACCGCCTTCTTTAAGTACAACATCCTTGTGCTATCGAGTGTACCAAGCTTTTGTCCAAATTGGACAATACCGAGGCCCAAAGAAAGGGGGCACCTATTTCCGTATTTCTCGTCCCTGGTAGTATGATTCCGAATTCTAGGTAACTCGATAAATTTGGCCTCGTTCCAGATAATAACCATCTTCGATAGATTGGGAGAGTTTAGACTAGCATCTGGTATTGCATCATCACCACAAGGGCTCAATTAATTATAACCTTCTAGCAGTATCTCTTTTAATGTGGGGCTAAGAGTCTGACTCGACAATCATGACCGATGAGACACCCAATCCTGGAAGATCCACTCCCCCGAACCACTTATACTTTGGTGGTTATCCAATGGGAACCTACCATTTTGAACTAATGCACATGAGGACTGGTTAGAGTTTGAAAGTGGATCCTGTCCAGGAAATTCAAAAAGACCTCGGGATAAGACAGGACTTCAAGTACTCATATGGAGTACTTTGTACATGATCAGATCATGCGAATCATGGCAATTGTGGAGACATTTCAGAGCTTGATTTATAATACGATTTGGTGGAAGGTTTTGGAATTTAAGTAAAATTCATATAACTTCATCCCAACATAGACAGACTATACCGAAATATAGACACATAACGATTCACGTTTACCTCTAAAATCTCATTCAATGGCTTCTCTCACGTCACCACTTCGCGTTGGCAATCTTGAACTCAAACATCGAGTCGTCTTAGCTCCGTTGACACGAAATCGTGCCGACGACCAACATGTGCCCCTTGACCTTATGCGCGAGTATTATGCACAACGAGCATCCGTCCCGGGTACCCTGTTGATCTCCGAAGGCACGTTCATTTCGGCCCGGGCAGGTGGTATCGCAAATGTTCCGGGGATTTGGAACGACGCACAAATCAAACAATGGAAGACCATCACCGACGCAGTCCATGGGCGCGGCAGTTACATTTTCTGTCAATTATGGGCACTTGGCCGCGCTGCAAACCCGGACATTCTCAGCAAGACCAACAACCATGTTATCTCCAGCGGTAACATCCCTATCACAGAATCAAGCCCTGTTCCAAAACCCCTTGATGAAGAAGAGATATTTGATTGGATCCACGACTATGCCCGCGCCGCGAAGAACGCGATCGCTGCTGGGTTTGATGGTGTCGAGATCCACGGAGCAAATGGTTACCTTGCCGATCAGTTTTTGCAGGACACCGCCAACAACCGGACCGACCGCTGGGGCGGGAGCGTGGAGAATCGATCTCGGTTTGGCCTGGAAGTGGCTAAGGCTGTGTCTGAAGCGGTTGGTGTTGAAAAGACCGGATACCGTGTTAGCCCCTGGAGCACATTCCAAGGCATGCGCATGGAGAATTTCCAAGAGCAATTCACCAATCTCATTCAGGGTCTTGGTAAATTGAAGTTGGCGTACCTACACTTCGTCGAGCCACGCATCTCCGGCGGCCAAACAGTGGATGATCCAGTGGAGCAGGACGACCAGTTCATGTTTGACGCATTTGGGAATTCAGGTGCGATCATCCTGGCGGGCGGCTTCACAGCAGAGTCGGCGACTGAAAAGCTTCGACTTCATCCCAACCGAAAGATTGCTTTCGCTTTTGGACGTTATTTCCTGGCAAATCCGGATTTGCCCTTCCGGATTGCTAACGAAATCCCGTTCAATGAGTACAACAGAGCGACCTTTTACACGCCGAAGTCACCCGTCGGCTATGTGGACTACCCCTTCAGTCCGCAGTTCGTTACTAAGGCATAGCCATTACGTTCACAGTATTTAATGTAAACCGATAAGCTGGCCTTGAATTTCGTGTTTTCCTTCTTTTCTTTCTCCTTTTTATAGTTGTAATATCAAATAATCCTTCAAACTCAACTATACACTTATTTTTATCGCCTCTCATTTCTCCAGACGGTACAAATAATTCCGGTGGATTGTTCAGACTATTTATATTCTTGAACTTCTCCGGTAGCAGTATAGTCCGTACTTGTGCCAAATTGCTCTTGCTTCTTTAGATCGTCTAACATTTGCTGGCATTCATCACGAACAATCGCCACAGCATCCGATCCGAGCACAATACGCAAAGGCAGTTCTTGCTGACTGGCGAAATGTCCTCTGCGATACACGAGATCCATGATTCGCTCAACCGCCTGTGTCGGGTCTCCAGGTTGTCTGCCATTTGTTTGCTCCAATCTACTTTGGAAAGCATCGACAGCGGCATCATAGTCCCGGATTGAATTGACCCCTCGTCCTGACTGTCTCCGTTGGGCGGAAAGGATATCGGTTCTGAATTGACCTAGGACTGCCAGGTGCAAATTCACTCCAAGTGGGGCTACCTCTTTGTGTAGACTCTCAACAAATCCTATATCGGCCATTAGTCCTAGATGTCACTCGCGCTATGCCATCCCAGGGAGGATGGAAGATTTACAAAGCGCATACCTTCAAGTGCAAATTTGGAAGCACTGTAAGGTCCACCAATGGCAACACCTTTCCAAGCAGCTATGCTACTCATGAATATTATGGTTCCCGATTGACGCGATCGCATGTGCGGTAACACGGCACGTGTCAAATTGAGAGGACCAAAAACATTGGTGTTGAATTGATCAAGGACTTGGGATTGGCTATTAATAAAACATAAAAGGGAAAGTCAGCTTTAAGTCCCCGGAATCACAATGCCACGCTAAAGGGAATAAAGGAACATCGCACCTTAGTTCTTCCAACACACCGGAAAGAACATATCCTGCATTATTCACGAGGACATCGATCTGACCAAACATGGCGATAGCCTTCGAGACCTTGTCATTCAAAACATGTTGAGAGTCTGTGATATCAAGCTCCAACAGTTCGACATCGTCACAGTGAGCGAAATTAGACAGGGTACTAATATCCCGCGCAGTGGCAATTACGCGATCACCCCACGCCAATATAGCAGGAACAAATGTCTTGCCGAAGCCTGAACTGCAACCAGTGATAAGCCAAACGCGGGGGGATCTTTGTGACTTGGACTCAACCATCATTGTTGTTGGGAGAAAACTTTGCACTAAGAACGGGAGAGAGGGAAATGAAATAATATACCTCCGCAATCGCTTGCCACATTAATGGACATCCCGATCACTTGTATTTATTTACACCCTAACTTCAAATCCCCGCAAATAAAGATTATTTTAAGTAATTGATGCTGCTCGAAATAAGAAATTACCCTTCCAGTGGATTTTCCCGAGGTACTTCATCGCATTTTCTTACCTACTATTGGTGTCGTTAGAAGCTACATAGACTGTTATCACATACATTGTTGAGTTAATTCGTTTGTCCGTCCTATATATATCTCGGCATTCAGCGCTGTGTAGAGGCGGATGATACGGAGTACAGGATACCTAAGTAGGTAAGTTGGTTGCGTCCTTGCAGTATCTCCTCCGTACCGTCATGATCGGTGGGTCCGGGATTTGTCCATTAAAATGCCAATGGACCGAGGCAGTGGATATGGAATCCCATTCCCTTTTATCTTTCTAAATACTAGAACAGCGAAAAATAAAAATGATCAAGCATTATTTTTGATTCAATCTAACCAGTATCATGGCTGCCCCAATGCATCAGATCATCCCAGCAGTTATCCCTGCGTTTGCGTGCCCCGAGGGCACCAAGATGCATATACTGAACCTGGGAACATTGACTGTTGATGAAGGCTGGTACGTGGAACATCGTATTAAATGCAGCAGGAGTTCTAGAAATTTAACATATCTTGTCTCTAACATAGGCTTCTGAATGGCGCCAACGGAGGCTCAGCAAGCAATCCAAACCCCATCCACAAACGAAGAGATCTGATGCTGATTGCTGGACTGATATATCATCCTGAGATGGGTCTTATTCTTTTCGAATGTGGGAGTACGGAAGACATTGACGCGGTTGGTACTTCCTCGCTGACTTCGTCACTCGCTCTATTCTTATTTTCGGACTTCAACTGATTGACGAAACCCCTACAGCAATGGAGTAGTGAGGCCACCGATTTATTCCCTCGTACATGTTACACCCAAAGCCATCATCTACCTGAAGCAATTAAAGCTGCTGGTTACGATATAAAGGATGTCCAGGCAGTCATTATGGGTCATCTGCACCTGGACCATGCGGGTGGACTGGAACATTTCCGAAACACGAGCGTCCCTATATACGTTCATGAAGAAGAATTCAAACATGCCTGCTGGGCAGCTGGAACAAACTCCGATGGTGGTCTTTACCTGTGAGTGCTCATTCCCGGTCAAACCCTTTGCTATATCAATCTAGCATCTGACATCCAAAACTCTGGCATCTATTAGGGCTGAATACTTAAAACTTGATGGTACTTTGAATTGGCAAACATTCAATGAATCCCAATTGGACTTGTGCACGGGATTAACTCTCTATCATTGTCCTGGTCACACCCCAGGGCTATGCATTATGCAGATCAATCTTGCGAAAGATGGTACATTCATCTGGACGACAGATCAATATCATGTTCGGGAGAATTTTGAGGATAATTGGGCACATGGTTGGCTTTTGCGAGACTATCGAAGTTGGGTTGATAGTGGGAAATTCATTCGGCGCTTGCAACGAGTGTTCTCTGCAACACTCATCTTTGGTCATGACTACGCTGTTGCAGAAGAGCTTATCGGTCGTAAGGCTTACCATGAATAGTCAACATGAAGGACATTGTTCAATACGTATCAACTGATTCTAATAAATTTCATATGTCTTGCGTCCTATGTGTGAGAGAGCCTCAGGGCTCAGACTACTACCCAAGTGTCGTAGACGTTTCCAGATATAATTTCCTCACATAGTCATTCAAATCACTAGTTTACTACCGTCTCATCACTATGTTAACAGTGAAACACTTATTTAAATAGTAGAATCCCGTTAAGGACGAAAGATCATGTGTTGCGTAAATAGAGAGAGTTGCGAGAACAACTTTAAAATTCAAACTGCGTTATTTACAATCAGAATTCCCTGATTATACCATCACTGAGTGGTTTTCGTTGACAACCCACTCTTTCCACCAATGGCTTGAGCAGCATCGCCGACCACTAGATTTTCATAGCCGATCATATAGGTCATTGGCAAGGCCATGAACCGACTGCAATCATCGCTTAGCGCGGCCGAATATTCGGCGCTTTGACAAAATCCCAACCAGCCATCCCAGTTTCGTACCCAAAGCTGGGCACATGCGTCGTAATCAAGGACACTTTCACCTATTCCTGTCATCCGTGCCTTCATCTCAGGGGTTTGGTGATGCTGTTGAGTATGTTAACTGGTGCAGTAGAACTTGCCCTAGCTAGTATCTGCTTCGAGCTAAAAATTCTTCCTAGTTTTTAAGCGGAGGATAGATTCATACCTGGACATATCGGAGAATATTGTGCTGGAAGGCCTTGGTAGCAACAGCCAAATCCGCATGGACAGTCTGCCAATGTTTGAAGAAATCCTCGTGTGAAATTCCATCCTTCTTGCGGAAAAATACTGAAACCTTGATCGCTGGTTGGAAATTTGGCTCAGCCTCGTAACTCAGCTCCGAATGAGTGAACTGGTGATCTTCAGGCAGAGGGTCCATGGCGTGTTATGTGACTTGGTGTGTCGTTAGAATTTTGTGAAAGACGAACATACACAACTCTTATATTAAGGCAAAGACGAGTATGCAGAGGTATGCTTATTTGGACCTCGGCTGGTCTGCCAATTTTGGGGTAAAAGATTTAGGTCGAGTCAAGCCCCAACGCAGATGGGCAGCTACGAATGACTCCGCTGCTATGACTCAGATACTTGTTTGAGACTGAGGGGGTGTTGCCTTGCGTGCGAGTCCATGTCATGCGGATATTGTTTACGTCATCGTACTTTTTCGACCTTTGTAACCCATCACCTTGATTTGGAACGCGTGCAAGTTAGAAAGTTTGCTATGTAACGAAGGCTTAGCGGCACCAGTGTCGGCTTAACTCATGACCTCTATGAAGCGTACGTATGGAATGATGCCTGCTATGCGACAACTTCGTTTTGCACAACTACCGTGAATTTTAGTTACAACTTCTCTCTCTCTTTATTCTATGTGATAGGTTACGGCAGCAATGCAAATTAAAGGAAACGAGATAGACTGGTTCATAACTATGTAGGCAACTAGTTAAGTTACATGTGAGCCGGCACGGATCTGGTTTGATGGTTTTGAGTTGACAGGATGTGTCGGTTCGATTTCTCTTCTACTAGCTAACTGGGCACATTCCAAGGTCCTTCCTCCATTTGATCATTGATCAGCAACACATTTCACCACCAGATCTTTTATCCACTCAATATGTGAGGTTAATCAAAACCGTCTTCGGCTCAGTATAGGCATGTAAAGCATGTACCCCAAGCTCGCGACCAATCCCGCTCTCTTTTGTACCGCCAAATGGACAAGAGAAGTGAATGGTACTGATGCAGTTTACACCAACCACCCCTGAATCAAAGAGCTCACTCAGTCTAAGACCTCGGTTGATATCCTGCGTGAACACTCCCGCCATCAGACCATACTGAGAGGCATTTGAAAGAGCGATCACTTCCTCTTCAGTTTTGAATCGGTTGATAACGACAACTGGTCCAAATATCTCATCTCTAGCGATAGATGAATCCTTCCCAGTGTCGAGGAAAATAGCGGGATCGAGGTAGAATCCCTAGGTGCAATATGTCAAAAACAGGAATTCTGGTTCAGGTATGGGGGTTCAGCAAACCTTGGCGCCCAGGGCCTCCCCTCCCTGTAAGAGCTTTCCATCATTGTTTTGTCTGGCGGTGTTGATAATCCTCAAAATCCTTTCATACTGCGCCTGGTCTACGACTGGCCCAATCTCAGAACTCGGATTCTCGGGATCTCCCATTACCTCTCGCTTTACAGCAAAGGCTTTACGATAAGCCGCCAGGAACTTATCATATATACCGTCCTGAACGTATACTCGAGACGCAGCGAAGCAAATCTGTCCCGAGTTGTTGATCAATCCGTTAACACACCTTTCCAAAATTCTTCATTAGATAATGCATTTCGATAATATGGACCTGGGAGTACTTACCATTGAACTGCATTTTCGAGATTTGCATCATCAAAGACCACTGCTGGACTTTTACCCCCAAGCTCAAGAGTCACTCTCTTCAAGTTGCTCCTCGCAGCAAGGACTTGAACACTTTTGCCTGTTGGCACACTTCCAGTGAAACTCACTTTCGCAATTTTCATATGACTGGCGAGTATCGCACCTGTACTGCCGTCTCCTGTCAAGACCTGGAAAACTCCAGCAGGAAAGCCAGCCTCTATCGCAAGCTTCCCGAGTGCGGCAGCAGCCAATGGGGTCTTTTCACTTGGCTTGAGGATGAAAACATTCCCAGTTGCCAATGCAGGCGCGGCTTTGAGGCCTATAGATGCCAGTGGACCATTCCAGGGGATGATACTGTTCAGTGTTAAACCTATTCCTTGATATTTTCAAAACCGAAAGACTGAAAGGTTCATACCCTGCAACCACCCCGAGGGGTTCATTTCGAACGACTTTGAAGAAGCCGTCAGTCGCTGGAAAGCTCTGACCAGCAAACTTGCCAATCCATCCTGCGTAATCTGATTTACTTGTCAATATAACATTCGCCATAGCACAAATGAATTAAGGACGCACATCTGAAACATCCTATCGCAGTGTCAATCTCTGATTTTCCGAATGGTTTATATGGTGCACCCAAGGTGACTCGGGTGAGTGACGCAAGATATTCCTGATTGCTCTCGATCAGGTCCGCAAATTTCAGCAACACCTTCTGCCGAGTGAAATCATCCATGCGACGCCACTCAGAGCCGGGTGCGAATGCCTGCTGAGCGGCTTCAATGGCTCGATCGACATCGGCCTCTCCAGAGATAGGTATCTGGTCGCTCACAAGACCTCCATCTGCGGGGTTATAGACAGATATTCTGTCGGAGAATTAGACGTCACAACCGATAAGCTGGACACAAAATGAACGTACTTTTTCTCAGTATTCAAGCAATCCACATACTAGTCGCGCTAAAAGTCATCATGTAGTTCAAATAACCGGACTCTTTATGGTATAAAACTTGCCTGATTGTTGATGAACAATTGGGTAAGGTGCGAATCAAGCTGCATGTTTGTAATAGTTCCTAGTACATCGTTTTGCATTTATGTTGGTCCCAACGGTTACATATTATATATCTATAGCTTTCACTGCCATAATCCCCACCCCGGGGCCCCAGGCTTTAATTTTCATTACCATGTATGTGTAAGTAACTATCTAACTAGTCAAGTGTTGGCAACCCCAGGATGTCCTGGTTGTTACGGGGCTGATCTATTACCCAACAAGGCAACTGCCGGGGACTGAGTCATGCAGGGCATGTCATGCAGATTCTACTAATCGAGTACCCACCACTGAGACCACCTCTATGCACCTTAGTGCCAAATTATCTCTCTGGCCGGACACGGTGATAAATTGCCCCGACTAATTACAAACTCAAGAGTTGGATTTGCCACTTGAGCGACCGTTTGGCTGGAATTCCGCCAAGCAACTCCCCCCGCACTAACCCAAGAAGATTTTCAATGACCCTGTTACCTACGGGCAGGTCCACCTTTAGTTGACAAACTTCATCCAATACACATCCAGCCTACAAGCTAGTTGCAGCACGATGTCAGACTCTGAGGCACCGGCCCCTGCACGCGCGACGGGCAAACGTACTGTTACCGGCCTGACCGCGTCGCAAATACAACACAAACGTGATCTTGATCGCAAGGCACAACGCGCCCTACGCCAGCGCACAAAACTTCGAATTCAAGAACTAGAAAGCGATATAGCACGCTTCAGGGCATCATTTTCGCAGCGGGAGCAGACAATGATAGACGAGATTCAACTGTTGCGAGACCAGAATCGAAAACTCAAATGCTCCTTAGAAAATATCCGGAAGTATGCTCTTGGCGAGCTTTCGGGTCTAGGCGAAACGAGCCTGCCACAGGATACATTTGATGAGGAAATAGCCGACAAGGAAATTGAGCAATTAACGACTCATTCTTTACAGCCGGGCAACACTCTAGGGACGCAATCTATCCCTGCCGATCAACCTGTCCAGCCTGACCATGATGTATATTTTTCAGTTAATCAACCGATGGGCCCGAATAATTCCAATCTCACGCACGGCCACGAACCAGATCGGCCCACGCTACCCCCCATATCTGGTGCGTTTGTGGGTCTCGTTGCAGAACACGGTATGTGACAGATCCTCTTGCCGATCGAACGGAGGCTTTAATTACAAGATCGTCCTTTTGACTTACGAGGCAGATTCACATCCCCACCGACCGTCCAAGTCCAACCAACTTACACCGTTTCATACCCCACGGATCACTGACAATCCAGTGTCTCCCTCCGTTAGTCCGGGGTCAGTGGCTTGGGTACTGCCGAAACATACGTGTGCAACATGTCCATTAGATCAAATCCTACTAGACTTCATTGCCTCGCGGCAATCTATGCTAGCCCGAGGTATATCCCCGGCTACCGTCCTGGGTCCTGAACAACTGTGTCCTCGAGACCTTCTAGAGCCGAGGACAGTCGAATCGACGTCGCATGCAATAAGCCGGGTGATGGCAGATGTGCTTACTACATTTCCACACGTGAATCTTCCAGAAAAGCTCGCTTTCATGTACCTCATGCATCTAACAACACGGGTAAGGCACCCAACACTTTACCCCACTCACCCACCCACTCAGCTAAATCCTTGTATACAGTGGCAAGTATCCCCGAACGACGGCAGCTATGCCCGCATGCCCGTGTGGCTCCGGCCAACTGTGACGCAGATAACCGTTCCGCATGCCGCATGGATTGATAACATCCCTTGGTGGGCTCGAATATGCTTTTACTCGCTTGTTTCGATTTCGCTAATACATTAACAGGCCTCGAGTACGAGATATCCTTATCCAAAAGCCCGATCGATACCCATTCGCAGTTTTTTCAGAGTTATACTCCCAGTATGTCAGCATTAATTGGCCATTTGACCCTGAAGACATCGTTGTGGATACGGGTGACGGTCCCTCCTTAAACACTATATTTGAAAAGCACATTCAGCGTTTGAGTAATTGGGTTGCTCCTCGTCAGTTCCGGGAGTATTTTTCGGAATGGACATCCGACGTCTATGTTGATGAGTAGATTAGAAGAGGCAAGCGAATTCATTGATAGCTAGCCCACATTACTTCTTGGGGGAAGCCCAATAATGTACAAGAACATTGCTTATGTATAACCTCTGATGATCATTTTTTAATTGGTAGGAAGATTCCTTTCGATAGGTCCTTCTTAGCACTTTGTCATGCGATGCGAGTCAGATTTACTTGGCGAAGGAAGCGAAACAAAATTTACTGTCAATACATGACTCGAATGATGCAAGACATATTACTACGCCAAGTATGCACTGCTTAATCGATCTAGTTAATTCCGCCTGCTGATACGCATGCGGGGAACGGCCTCACACCCCGTGGGGGAATGGAATGTCGGATATATAAATACTTGGAGGTTGCAATCCGCCCGATTTGCCTACTTGTGCTATTCCTCTTTATCAAACCCCTAAAAGCTTTCCAGGATGTCTGGCACAATGAGAGCCGCGCAGTACAATACTGTATGTTATTGGATCATCATCTAGAGGCTTATCAAGCTATTCCCTTGAGTCCTTATAGAGTACCATGGAACGAACCCCGAAAGCTGATGAAGACGCTGTACAACAGACACTGAACAAGGTTGAGGTCAACGAGATCCCAATTCCTGAGCCCGGAGAGAATGATATTCTGATTAAGAATGCTTGTGCATCGCTATGTCATTCTGATTTGGTATGCCTTTATGGTTTCTCATGTAACGCATACGCTCACTGTATTTTCTAGATGCTTTTCTGGGGACATACGGCGGAGAAGCCCCCAATGGAGAAAGTTACTATCGGACATGAGAATACCGGCACCGTCGCCGCTATCGGAAGAAACGTTACAGGATTCAAGGTCGGAGACCCAGTGGGGTGTCTCGGGTGTAGCTACGCCTGTTGTATGTCTTCATCTATCCATTTTTCGCATCCAGGCCCTATATAATAGGCACGGAATGAAGCTTACGCTTACTTAATAGACAAGTGCGAAGGATGCCGCGTTCATAATTTGCACTGCGTGGAAGGAACTGGCAGACTGCACGGTTTTACAACACATGGACACTTTGCAGAATATTCCCTATCGGACTACAGGAATGCAATGGTTCTCCCGGCGGGAATGGACCTTGCTACTACGGCACCTTTGTTCTGTGCGGGAATAACAGGTTAGCAAATGCACACCTTCCCTTCTTCTTATTTATATAACAACTGACCGAATCACTCAATTCGGTAGCATACCACTCCGTGAAAAAATGCGGACTCCAAGAAGGAGACTGGATCGCTATCATTGGATGCGGAGGATTGGGCCACCTGGGTAAAATCAAACGTACATCCCCTGTGTGAGCTGAAACTAACGAATGTTGCAAAGCGATCCAATATGCGAAGGCATTGAAATTGCGAGTCATCGGAATTGATATTTCCGATTCACAATTGGAGTCAGCGAAATCTCTTGGCGCAGACTTGACCTTCAACTCGGCCTCAACCCCAGACTATGAGAAAGAGATATTGAGTCAGACCAGTGGAGGTGTGCATGCTGCTGTGGTTCTGAGTGCCTCTAATGCTGCGTACCAGGGTGCACCCAGCGTGCTAAGGTGAGAAGCTTCACATTCAAATTGGCATATGACCGTTCCACTACTAACCTCTTCCTCAGGATAAATGGTATTCTCATGGTTGTCGGTATTCCTAAGGAGAACCTGTCAATCAATGCTCTCGACATCCTCCTAGGAAAGTATCGCATTATGGGTGCCAGCAGTGGTACACCACAACAGATGCGAGAGCCCATTGAATTCAGCTATGAGCATGGTATCAAGGCGCATATGACTACCTTCAACGACATTGGGGACATTCAAAAGATTATTGACTTGCTAGAGAACGGTAAGACCGCTGGTCGATTTGGTATAGTCTTCTAGTCTTCGCAACATAGGTATATAGAAAATGGAAAAGAATTCGGTGTAGCAGGAGCTCGCTATTCCCTCGATAGTATCATTTATATTCATGTATTTTGTTAAGACCTTTGGAAAACTTGTCCGGGATCAGATCCATGAGGTCCACGCTGGATTTGATATCCCCGGGCCACCTGGGCAGCAATCCGGATGACTAAAAGCCAAGAAATTCCAGGATCAACGACCTCAGGCCCAGGGATTGAAAATGAGGAATTCCCTCACTTCCTTCCTCCTAAGAGCTCCAGAGCTCAGGTAAATAACCTTGTATATAAAAATGCAGTCGCGACCGGAGTCTTCTGGGGCAGGTGCGCGATTACCCTCACCGGATAAGTCGTCAACCTCCGAGTATCCTTTGCAGGAGATCGGGTCGCAGTACAAGGATGAAGCCCGTCACAGTGATGAACTAAGTTTGGACTTGGAAATAGGCGATGTGCCTCTTCTTCCCTCGGAAGGTCACGGCATGGAGACTCAATCGGGGAAATTCGAATGCGATCCGCCGTTTTCTTGTACACCCACGGGATTCTGTGCATGGCTCCGCGGCCCGACCCCGGCGCATGTCTATCACATTAATCCTTGGTTCCCACGTTTACAGGCTGCGCCGGCGCGTCTGATTGATCAGAAATTTCCGCGCAGAAGTTCAAAAATCGCGCTCCTTTTTGGTGGTTTAATCTTTTGGATTGTCGTGTTCTTCGCGTCCTTAAAAGCTTCTGTCGCGGGCCAAGAGGTTCCGGGGTATGGCCAGCCCGTCAAGCTGTCGTGTCATCACCGCTTATGGTGTGTTTCTATTTTTATCCCTAAGCAGATTTGTGAACCTAACCATATCTTTTTAGGAGAAATGCCACGAATTGCGGACTGAATGGTGATCTCTGTCGCCCATTCGAGGACCAATCCTTCGCGTTCCGTTGCCCATCCGGCTGTGCCGCGGCGATTCTCCTCGAGCCGTATGTTGTTGGCGATCAGGAGCTCAATTACCGACCATTAGTCGTGGGAGGTAAGCCATTCAAGGTGGATGGTCATCACAGCGGCATTTACCGCGGCGATTCGTCAATTTGCGCGTCGGCACTGCATGCAGGTCTAATTGATGACGCGAGGGGCGGATGTGGCATCCTGCACCGCACCGGCGAACAGAAAAACTTCCCTTCTATCATGCAGCACGGCATTGAAAGTATTGAGTTTCTCTCGAGCTTCCCGATGTCATTCCGGCTCGGTAATGAAGCATCATCTCCAAACTCGAACGGGACAAAATCAATCAAGTGCTCGGATGCGCGCTGGTCGCTCTTCGCCTTCACATTGATATGGACTACCATCTTGTCATTAGTCGTGACGTCGGCACCGGCATTTTATTCCATGATATATTTCATTGTCTGGTTCCAAGTCGCCATGGCGTCCGACCCACCCTCCATTGGGGGCTACTATGATCTTGTGTCAATCGCGCTTGGTCGATTCCTGCCTGGTGCATTTGTGGGATTCGTGTTGTATTACTTTTGCGTCCGGCACACGCTTAAAAATTTAGATGCACACTGGGACAAGACTGTCCTGTGGCTAGGCGGCTGCTGGGTTGGCGCCCTGAACACAGACACATTCGATCGCATTCCAATCTCTCGCCTCACGCCCCACGATATCCAGCAGCAACCGGGTGCTCTCACAGCTCTAATCATTGTAGTTGGGTCGTTGATCGCAATCGCCTTTGGTCAAGCACATTGTTTCCGTCGCGAGGGTCGCTTCTTCCCTACGATAAGCATATACGGCGTTCTTGTTGCAGTTGTTCTCATCCTCGTCGCCGTTCCGCACATGAACCTACGCATCCACCACTATATTCTCTCTCTTCTCTTCCTACCTGGAACAACTATGCAAACTCGACCCAGTCTCCTATACTCAGGTATCCTTATTGGTCTTTTTATAAATGGTATTGCCCGCTGGGGCTTCGATTCGATCCTCCAAACTCCAGGCGCTCTCCTTGATGGTGCCAAACTCGGTACCGTTCCACCAAAGATCTATCCTCCTTCCTTGACGGATGCGAACAACCTCGTTTTCTCGTTCCCGGACCTTGAGCCCCATGCCGATGGCCTCAGTGTCCTGGTCAATGACGTCGAGCGCTTCCAAGTCTTCCGACCTAAGGATGGGCAGCCTTTGCCGGATTTCACTTGGTCCCGTACCTATCCCAACGAGTTAGAGTATTTCCGTTTTGGACTTGTTCATACTAATCCTTTGGGCGGTCTTTGGTATGAAGACTTTTCTCCACCTGCCGTTTGGGAAGCTGATGGTAATTTTGTTTTCCCTGATCCTGAGATCTCCGAGGATCCTGAATCCGAATCCGAATCCGAATAGATAACTGTGGTATATTCCACCTGTACATACTGTCATTATTCTGTTGCAATTAGAGATAGATATTTTTGATAGATGTGCGACGCATAGGCTCTAGTGTCTGGGGTGTTTGGTACTAGTTATATTTCCTCTGGGGGTTAGTCCCTGTCCCTCATACAGTAAGTTCTAAAATTCTTTCCTGCTGGCAACCGTGTGGGATGAGTATTTAGGCACCTTTCAGACTGCATCACCACACCACTCTGAGGTTACCCATGTGAAATTCTGTCAGTTGTTGTGGTTAGAATAAACATGGGCCGGATTGCGGTTCATGCCATTAACTCCAACTGTTGATACCAGGGTTCCTTCGAGGCTAAAGTGACCTGAAATAACTTTGAGTGACCTCTACGCGGAACTAAATGGAGTAGGAGTTACATAGATACAGGTGATTGTTGAGGGTGTCAAAAGATGTAAAAGATTTAGTCCAAGATGAAGATAGGGATGTAGGTCTGTACTTTATATGTTCACTTCACATGAGAAAAGGCATCGCACAGTGTGTATAAACGGATGTACGTGCATTTAGCCTAGGGGTTGTCGTTGGTGATATTTGGCGCACCGCTACCTTGGATCCCCGTCCATCCTCAGCTTGAGTGCTGTTTGATCTCAATTTACCGGATCGCCTCCGGGCGATGACTTTTTATTTTTTTTATCGTGGTCTTTTTAAATGATTATCATGCGACTAGCAAACGTAAACCCGCAATTTCGATCTATCGTATTTCACAGGCCACACGTACTTCAGGACGACGGCGACAAGCGATCCTCGCATATCAGATGGGTCATCCTATAGCCTAAAATCCATTGTCGCCATCCTATATGAATACATATATTTTCAAAACTAGACGAAAAGCAACAGTGGAGAAATGTCATCTCTTGAAATAGCCATGACACGATATCTGTACAACACTTTGCTTTCCGCCGTCCTCTATGACCAAAGCTGTGAGCTTTCCTCCCGTCACACAACCTGAATCAAGACCCTTTGTGAATGTGCGGATAGAAAGAGAGGTAGAAGCATCGTGGCCATATACAACAGTCATGGTGTTTGCAAAGGGGATCTTCAGTTGAAGTCTCGAGGCTCAAGTATAGTTTCGCTTGGTATTTATCGAACATCTAAATTGAAAATATATCAGTACGACAACAAGATTAGAGGGGTAGATGAGAAAGCTCAGTCATACTTTAGCCCAATTCATGCCCTTCTTTTTCGGGCTGGGTACATTTGTATCAGAATCAATGGTCCGCATGGTCATCACGCTAGAGGGATCTTGCTTCTCAAGTTCAATGCCCGGTATCAGTCCCGCATGAACGACAACCAACTGGCCCATGCCTGGAATGTGGCCGACATTCAGTATCATTGGACAGTTCTCCAGCCACTGAGCCTGCTCCTCGCTCAAAGACCGTGCGAGTGCACGCTCAGTAAGTTCTCTAGATGAGAAACCAGAGTACCTACCATCATCGGGGGTTGTGAGAGTGTTGGTCTTCACCATCTCTTGTCGGAGAAGCAGAATCCGGTCCTCGTGGTTCCCACGGACACTAGATGCCGAATGCTCCCGAGCTAAGTCCACAACCCCTTTGCTGTCTGGCCCTTTGTTGATCATATCACCGACAAAGACAAGGTGATCGCCGCCTTTTTTGTTGAAGGAGACTTTTTCAAGAAGTTGCACCACTTTTGTATGCTTGTCAATTCCAAGGGTTCCCGTGGTTTAGGGGGTATTTCTTACACTCATCTTTACAACCGTGCACATCTCCCACAAAGATTAGCCGTTTCCGACTCGTTTTCCCTGAATCCACTTTTGATATATCCCCAGGCACCAGGCCTGGGTCCAGTGTACGGATCCGAATCAAGCCGTCAGCGTGAGGGGACGAATGCAATAGCGAGTTTTGGTCTTGTAGTTGAGGAGAAGGTAACATTCGCCAACCGATCCATGCAAATATGAACAACGTGCCGTAGATCAGCATATACCGGAAGCGCGGCGCGAAAGCTACCGAGAGAGCCATTTGGGGCCATCCCGGAGATTTGATGTCATCCGCGGGGGAGCTGGAGGCCTGTTGGGAACCTCCAGGGGCTCTGGACTGCCATGCGTTTCTAGCGGAATCAATTAGGGGGCGAGAATGTTGTGGAAATTGATTTGAGTAGGAGGGATGGTGAGTTATTGTCGGGTGGAAGTCGGTATCTGGGGACTCGGAGTCCTGCGGATGGGAGTCGTGAGATGCCATTCCACCACGCCCTAATTGGGCTTTATATCCTTGAATCAGATTGTACTGTCTAGTTCATATGTGTCATATGTGCTGCATTTATCCGCTAAAAGTCAGCGGTCGTAGGTGAATGTGAAGATTTAGGCGTAGATTTAGGCAGAATTTAAACTCGCGCTCTGACGTATACAGTGAGACCCACTTTGTTGTGTTAGGTCCCGAGCTTGTGATGCTTGATTTTTTTATCTTTCTTATGTTCCAAATTGGACATTTTCTCTTTTGATTTATTTGTACATTTTAACACTATCCCCGGTACTGATCATACTCCTCTGCTTCCCGTCTACGCAGGTTGACGCGCTGGAGCACAGCCTCATCATATACCTCTTCCACCTTCTTGCCACCCTTAAGTACCTCTTTTTCGTGGCGGAGTGCTTCCTCCTTGGTCATGCAAACCAAGTTATTGATATCCATCGGGACAGTCTTTTGTCCCTCTTTCTCAAGGCTCAGATCCATGTTCCATCCATGAGAAGGAGTTTGCCAGGGAATGAGAGCCAGTCTGTTAGACAAGCCACTGATCGGACTCTTTCCACGGTATACTTCTTCAACAACGAATGCAATGTCATCCTTGCTGAGTGGTACACGAAGCCCCACAGTATCTTGACCGGTAACTTGTCTAATCATTCTTTCATGCAAGCCCAGCAAAGTAGCCAAGATGCTATCGTAGAGTTTCTCGCGACCCTTGGCGCCCATGTTATAGTCAAGCGGGTAGCCAGTAATAGTGCAGATAACGTGGTTGGCCACTGTATAACCAAACACTGCAGGCATAGTCCCCAGTACTGGGAGAATGCGGGCTCGGAAGTCAGGCAGAACTCCAAGCTCACCAACTTGACCCTTGGTGAACTCATTCTCGGGGAGAGGAAGTAGGGTAGCCTTGCCCGGGCCTGGTTTCTCTGTCGAAAACACGGCTGCTACGCCAGACGAAACGCCAAGAAGCTTCAGTCTGCGGCGTGTACTGCGGGACAAAGGATCATCAGTGCTAAGCGAGATGTCACCGACCACGACGCGAGTCGGGTCCGACTTGCATCCTGCGCCCATCGACGAAATCACAGGCAAGGAATTCGAGTGGCAGTAGTGCAGCAATTCTACCTTGGACGTAATGTTGTCAATGCAATCAAGCACGAAATCTGGTTGACGGCCCTCCCCATCGTGTGTCAGAGACCATGGGCCGAGGAGGTCCTCAGACGCGGCCTTTCCATAAAGCTCATTCCGGCAATCGAAGATGACCCACGGTGCGATTTGTTCCAATCGCCTCCGGATGCAATGGACCTTCGGTGTACCAACATCAGCCAATGTCGCAAGAGCGTGTCTGTTCAACGATGAGAGTGTGACTTGATCGAAATCGATGAGTCGGATTTTGGACACGCCCGATCGGGCCAGTGAGGCAGCGGCATGCGAGCCGACACCACCACAGCCGACAACAACAACGAATGATGATCGAAGCTTGGCAAGGCCTTCGTCACCGAGGAACACACGGTTGCGGGCGAGTTGTTCAAGAATCAAGTCTACCAAAGCGAGACAGGCTGGGTGAGATAGGTTCCAGGGAAAATATTCATATAAAGGTCACATACCATCATCGTAGTCTCCTTGTTGCGCTCTGCGAGCCAAAGCTGCACTGCGCTCATCTTCCTTGCTCAGCTGTACTCCATTCGAGGCAGCACCAAAATCGGTGAGCTATAGTCCGCGGAATCAGTTTTCTTTTCTTGTCCTGTAGCTTGGTAGGCTGGATGCGCAGCTTCACTGGCGCAGCTCACCATTTCTGCACGATGCAAATCATCTAGGCTTGGAATCGAAGCCTTCAGGTCCTGAACAGCTTCCTTGCGCTTGTATGACTGGTACCCAAAGATAGCACCTGCGACAGCTGCGCCAGATACGACAGCCGCTGTCGCAAGCTGGCCGTGGGACGAACCAGCTTGGCGGTGGAGCCAAGAAGACATACTTGCAATCACACCGTTATCTTCCGTGTCCTGGGAATTTCTCGGTTTGCTGTTATTTTCGTGGGAGGTGCTTCGATCAGGTTCGTTATATCTGGTATCCAGTTCGTCAGAATCGAATCCGTAGTCGAGGTCGGCGTCGTTGGGCTCTTGCCACCATTTGGATGCCGGGGGAGCCATTATGAATGTGGGTTGTACTGACCATGACAAGTAGCCGACCGCTGCAGGCATGAACTCTTAATAACGGAATGTATATGCAAGCCAATGCGTTCATCAGTGGAACCACGCTGGTTATCACGTGCCATGGTCCTGGGTAATTGTGCGGGAACTATGTAAGGCGGTAGGATAGGCGGTAGATGGACTACGCGCCGCAGCACCATACATACCAAGAGTGTCTTAACATCACGCATACTATCCCCCAAAAACCTTCAATTCCGACTCCCCAGCCAATTATCCCCCGATGGTGTCAAATATGCTCCTGGATCATCTCATCCGATAGGAAGTTGTTGTTGGCAGACCGATGCAGCTATCATTCTCCACTTCAGAGCCTGTCCGAAAAAGTCGCGTCTAGGTGCATCTTGATGTTGAATCCGATAATACCTTGCCAGTCAATGCCAGAAACTACCTCTTATCGTTTGAGACGATGCAAGATCGACGTGATCTGAGACTTAATTATCCGCTATCTATTACGAGAGGTATGTATGTTTTTTCAACCTGGCTCTCTGGTCTCTGGTTACAATGCAGATTCAATGGAATATCATGTGCCAAGTCTTGATGACGATAACCCTCACAAGAGCTTCTCATGACATGTCGGTTGAATAAACCCGTCGGGCTGTGGACTTCATCCCCCTGATACGTCGGAGTGGAAGAAGACATCGGCACCACAGTGTGTGATTGAGCAATGAACAGAGATCTGAAGAGACTCGGACCTTTGATATTTCTTGCTGTGTGTTGTTTTGGCATTGCGTCAATATTTTAATGTGTTTAACTTTAACTAACATCGCTCAGCCTTGCTATACATACATATTCTAGATCTCCAAAATCTCACATCTCCTCCGGTTTTCTTCGCCTATCGCCCTGTTCCCTTCCCGGTACAATCTCCATCATGAGATCTTTCAGATCCTCCTCGTGTAATAGCCCAGTGATGAGAAAATACAGTCACATACTCCGAGGCCCTGTATATGTGCTTCGTCTGTACGCCTTTCAAGGAAACGACAAGCACGCCGGTGACGAGTGACAAAACATGGTAGTTTTCAATCTGAGGGCATATCTTATTATCAATCTATGGTTGGGGAGCCTTATTCTTCAAATCAATACATGGCGCTTGTTCTATTTAGTTGGGTTCCTGCTTTCTAGTGGCTCATGGCCTTGGTGCGATATACCAAATACAAATTGTTCCATTTCTTCAACATCTTGTTCTTGTATAAACTTCATGGGGACAAGCATGACTTGGCTGTTACACCTTGCGAAAGCTAATACAAGCCTGTAGCTGACTGCAACATCCTATAAACATCATCCTTAGGCCCCACAAACCCAGCGAGATTTTCCAGGTCACAGATTTATGTTCGGCTCAACTACATCTGTCGACGAGTCGCTCGGCGTGTCATTTTTCAGGTCCAACATCTCCCAGTCAATATTGGGTCCCATGAACTCGTCACCTATCAACCTCCAAAAAAACAAGAATAATAAGAAATAATGCCACTAAAACGGGGGCACTACACTTCATCGAGCCCAAGGTAACTGGAAGATCAGGCAGGAAACAGATCATAACACCTAGGACTGTAAGTAACAGCGGCACGAAAACATTCCAGACATATCCCCATCGACCAAGACCAAGCGGCCGCTTTGGCAGACACTGACCTCGCGTGACGAGGATAACCTGGGGAATAGCGTAACTCAAGTTCAATAACGTAATAGCAGAGGTAATGATGGAGTTGAAGGCGGTGGTGCCTGCGATATATGAGACCATAAATAGCAGCAAAAATAGTAGAGGCTATAGTTGTGCGAAGCGGGAATTCGAGCCGCTTGTCTATGTTGTCGAAGAAATCGGGAAATGGAGTACCTCTGTCTCTGGCGAAAGCCCATGAAAGACGCCCACAGTTGACCCACTGTGGAGGAAGACATGCTGCGCATATGACTGTCAGAGTACCCTAAGTGCCACTGTCACCCTTCTTGGCCCTGTTGCTTGGTATAATAGTTGCACGGCTGACATTCCAGCGTTTATTACTCGGTCCATGTCTTTCATGGCAACTATCAGGACTGCTAATAGCGGTACTGCTGTACAGAGGCCAATAGCTAAAGTCATGTTCCTGTTCTTGTTAGCGGGCCTAGTAACAAAAACGGGCATTAGAGGCGGAGCATGAAATTGGTCTTTGCTAACATTATCTGTGGGAGTCGACGACCCGGCGATTGCATTTCTTCCGCGACATGGATTGCTCCATCGCTGTCTATTATCCAAAATCGACAACTTTTACAATTAATAATAACTAATATACTTATAGATACTAAGAATATATAATATCATTATTCTCTACTATAATTTATCGTAATATAGCTCAATTTTATAATTTCCTAATACTAAGAAAGAAATAGATTATAAAGCTAATATTCAAACCAGAACACTAGTAAATAATCGTAATTTAAAGTAATAAGTTAGCACTTTTTTTTATATAAATAAGGGCCGATAAGGGCCGCCCTCGAGCGGCCCTTAGAGGGCGGATACTTGCCTGCCCTCTAAATGTTTTTAATGAGGTCTACGGAAGTCTAAGTATATGCCTGTATTCGGCTAATAGAATATCCTACCATTTCGCCGGATATCTAAATATGTAGGGCTTTTATAAAGTAGGTTATACTAGGAAAGGACGGTCGGATCGACGAACGGCCTATAGTTGGGACGATAAAGGGAGTTTTTAGGGTAGTTCGTCACTAGTATAAAGAGAGAAAGAAACTTCGACTTCCCACCGGCCACTAGGACTACAATTAAAGAGGTCTACGCCATGAGGAGATTTAGGAAGTATGGATAGGAAAGTACTAAATTTGGCAGCTTGGAGTAAAAGTAATCATTAAGAATGAGAGGGGAAAGGCTTTCGTTAGGCAAATAAAACTAGCTCTTATTCCTGCTTTCCGGGCAGTTCCCTACCACTATCAGAGCTGGGTATGTCCCCGTCTATATTAAGCGGTGGCAGGTGGTGTGTTATATCCCATAGAGAAGATAAGGCAGCCTGGTGAGCGAGCGAACATATATAAGCGTGCCACTTCGAGTATGCGCCTGAGGCAGACTGCCCATTGAGAGAGTTCACGTAAGAAGTGGAGTCGATATTCCCGTCCTCCTGTAGCCGCCTTCGGTGGGTGAACGTGTCAAATACCAGCACACTAAGACATTCGATGGGTGTTGGCTGCTGAATTTGCGAGCGATGGTAAGAGATCATCGGTTTAGACATGCGCTGATAGAAGAAAGGGGTCCAAATGCCGTCCACGAGACGCCTAGTAACATATGTAGCGTGCACTGCACTCTTTTCTCGCAGGATAGGTCTTGCCTTGTCAGCCCGATCACTGGATGACGAATCCACGTCCGGTAGAGATGCGGATCTTGAGTGTATTTGGCGCTGCGATTTGAAATCATATTGACTGAACATCTCAGCATCCATTGTATAGCGAATAATTTCCCGTAGAGTCTCCTCCGCGCCCTGAGCCAAAGGGTGTGAGCAACAGACAGTGTACCATCCCGTCAGACCTAGGGCTTCACGGAACGGCATCTGGTCACAGCTACCAAACAGCTGGTCGGCATACGGTTCGGTGATTTTTGTGAGCCAATTGCGAAAACTTGTCGTGCCAGACGGGTGTGTAAAAACCCGGGCTCGGTTGACATAGAGAGCTTCACCAACGGACAATTCACCAGCATCCGACAATGCCTTGGCCCAGCAGTCGGCCTGACAAACAGATGCTGGTTCCTGTTGTATTACCTCGCTAATGTCGTGTAGCTTGAACTGTGACAGACCAACACATTCGCAACATCCGATAATGGAGTCTGACCAACCTCTCCTCTCCTCACACTCCGAAGCCCTCAGCCACGCAAGGTACATCATTGAAATCCCCGCACACATACAAGCGGGACAATTGGATGCGGCTGCAATGTGTGCTAAGCATTGAGCGATTTGCATCAGGACATGTAGAGGCGTGCGTTGGGCAATGGTCGCCCTCTGGACCCCACATGGGCAGCCAGCTAGTATTCCCAAGCTGTCGAAAGTCTCGGGGATGGCATCGATGATGGGCTTCATCCTCAGTTTTAATGCGTGGTGTGGACGGAAGGATGATAGGCCCGATTCCCGGAAGCCGTCGAGGTCACCACACTCAAAAGGGTCATACCCGAGCATCCCAACATTTTGACGCGTGCTATGGTTGGCCATATCTCTCAATAGTGGTCTGGTGTGGCACAATGTAATGATGTCTATTGAGAAGTTAGTCTAGAGAGACTAATAGGAAAACAAATAACAAGCCGGGAGGTTATACTGGTTATTGTGTGGAGGTATAGCTTGTTTATCCTTTTGGTATCTTAGAATGTGGGCTGAAGTGCTAAATTTTGCAATATATATACCTACTATGTAGCTATGCGGGCTTTGGCATGTGGTAGTTTCGTTCACGTACTCTTTCACAATACATTGTGTTACCCTCTCTCTCCATAGCTTCGTATCCATTAATATTTTTATCATATAATTCTCCGAGTGGTCGTTTTACGTAAGAGAGGCCAATCATTATTACCCGTGCTATACCGGCTCTCTAATAAACCTCCATCGGTTGCCCAAATGCTATTGTCAGCGCTGCGGTCATTTCCGAATACAGCTATTGCAAGCTTTGGGCTGGCAGGAATTCATTAAAAGGGTATTGTAAAGGCCAGTAAGAAAAATGCCGCACATGGCCTTATGATATTCCTCGTATTATCATAGTCTAGGTGAAGTTATACAGTCCTCAGCTAGTAGGTGTAGCATTTGATAGATCTCGTATCCCAGGATTAAAGTTCCCGGAGACACAACTTATGTCACACAAGAGTTGTCATTAGAATATACTACCCCGTAGTCAACACTAGTGGAATTAAGGAAGAAAAATGGGGGGGCAAAGCCAATACGGCTTTGCCACGTTGCAACGCCGAGGACTGCAGCATGTAAGCTGGTAATAACGCGCGAGCAGGCCACCCGAAAGCACCATGCATAAGGTGGTTTTATATCTCAGCAACAACGCATTGATACTGCTTAAAGCTCATATAGAACGTTGATAACTAGATTACTAGCTATAATCAAACCTTTTTAGGGGATTTAAATAATAGTTAATTCACTCAAAAAATATGATCTATTTTTGATCTTTTTGTTTAAACAAACGGTATAACTCAATTAGTACTTATATATCTACAGTTTCCTGGCCTATAGGACCTCTTATTCTCTATAAAAGTTTGGTAATTAACTGATTTTCACCCCGAGGGGAAGGGTTGAAGTCGCTCCTACCTTCGGAGAGCGACCTGCTGAGAGGGGTGGAACGAGCTTTTAAGAGATGGGGATCGATGAATGAGGAATGTTAATTGGTCAAACTAGCTGACTAATTTTAGATATAACGAATTTTGTAAAGGGGGAATCGTGAATGAACGAACTTCGTAGTAAAAGGGGGAGATTCGATATTACTATGGTGCATTAATTCAATCACTGGTATCTGTTCTTTAAAACCAGGTATTCGTTATATACTGATTCGTTATAAGTAGGTTTTACTCTACCAATGAAATATGACTGAGTATAAGCACCTTACCATAAATGTCCTCCAGTGAGAATATGCCAAGCCGAACCTACGTTTGACATATTCATTGAATAAACTCAATTAGAACGATGCGGGGTGTTCAGAGCACTTTGGGTCGCTCTTGCATAATTATATATATAATATATACCCCTCTTTGGATAGCAGTTATCTACATCCTATCGCTGGTAGTTCATGCTGGGATTATATGGATTAGGGTAGGGTCAATCATAAAAGACATATCAAATATGACTCGAGATTGCGAGGCACTTAATTCAGTCGCTGTGTTAGGTGCACGGGGCTGAATCCATCGCAAAGGCCACAAATTCTTTAGAGAAGTATCAAGCCAGGGTTGGAAGTTCTAGATGAAAAATACCAATACTATAATCCAGCTAAGATATATGGGAATAGTTTTTGAAGGGAGGTTTAGCCCTAAATACGTAGCACTCGCGGTATCCAAAAACCATCCATAGCACATATCTTTCCCTAATGGTATTTTCCTGATCAGATAATTTCCTAAACAAATAATTGAAAAGAAATCAACGAGCTTCCGACTGTATTTGAACCTCGTATTCCAACGAAACCCTGCTCAATAAGCTGACTTGGTTTATAAAAATTAGTCTAGAATCGTCGTAGGGAGGGGGGCCGGACATACCTTTACTGTGCTGGCCGACCATATCCCCGACGAATGCGCCTCCTGCCCATCATTTCGTCACCAAGTATATTTTCTATCGGATTATTATCCAGATGCATGGTAGCCAAGCAGTCTATCAAAATAACCAGCAATAGGGCGATAGTGCAGAGAAATGGTTCTCCTATTAAGATGCATGGACAAGAGCAAAGGAGGTAAGTAAGTAGTGAAGATATATCCATAAGTAGGGCCGAAGAGTAAAGATAAATATGTTTAGTTCCCAAGAATATTTATGAGCTAAATATATAACAATTTGAATAAGTCTATGACAATTCTAGGCCTTAGGTCTGTGATCATAGATATGGAAGCACTCGATGAATCGGTCATGTGGGCCTACACGTCCTAAAATGTCCCCCGTAGGAATCAATTGAGAGGGTGTAGTAAAGGCCAATAGGAAAAATACCTCAGAAATCAAATCGTAAGCTGTTTATCACTGTATCATATTCCGTGGTATTTTAGGAAATTGGCGCGGTTATTGAACCCTTAGATCTCTTGATGGATAGTGGATTGATAATCAACCTGGACGCTGGATGCTGTATATAAACCTTGAGAATTCCTGCCTAAAGAAATTAGAACCCAACTCTTGGTCATAATTTATTTACTCACCAGAAGAGACCTCAGCTAAACAAACATGGAATCCGCCGCCAAGATCAATGTGATTGAAACCCACCGCACGGACAAGTACCAGGATAAAGTTGTTGACACATATGACGATCCTCCAGAAATGTGGCAAAAGGCTCTCGGCGACAATCTGAGCTTCCAATTTGGCCTCTTTGATCAGACAGAGATTTCCGAAGGTGCTAGACCGGGACCTGTTGGCCCTGCTGAGTTTCGAGCGTTTGATCGCCAGCTCGAGCTCGCTGGGCTTCTCGGGCCAAACAGGCCACAACTCCGCCGAATATTAGATATTGGTTGTGGCTGGGGCTTCATCACCAAGCACATAGCCGCACTTTTCACCGAATGTCAGTGCATCGACGCCATCAATATCAGCCAACGTCAGCTTGACTTCTGCGCCAATAACTTACCTATGGATCTTAGAAAGCGGGTCAATCTATACTTCTGCAATGGGCAGGATGTTGATCTTCTTCCCAATCCGGAAGTGCCGTATGATTTGGTCGTTGTACGTGGGGTTTACACTCACTTTCTCTTCAATGTCTTCGAAGCTTCGATAGCTCAGGTAGCACAGCGTTTGAGCCCTCAGGGTACCCTGCTCATTTCCGACACGCTATACAGGGTCACCGACCTCGAAACATACAAGTCCCCTATACCAGACACGGTGGATCGTCTGGCGTGCGCCAATCGAAAGACCCCAGATTACTTCATCAGCGTTTTGAAGAAGAACGGGCTACATTTACACGATATGCGCATAATGCCATCAAATGCCGAGGTCATCCACTGGTTCGACAAGGTGCGACTCAACATTGAACAAAATTTCCCGGATGGGGCTAGCGGTCCAATCCAGGAGTTGCACGATATGGCCGTTAGCTTTAACCAGAGCTTGGCTAAAGAACAAGCCTCAGTGTACAGCATCATTGCGCGATACGTTGTGGACTGATCAAACAGCCATGCAGGCTATAGCCAGAACATAATAACAGGTGATGGAAATAGGGTTGGGAGTGGCTGTCAAGAGATGATGTCGAGCTCCGCGTTACTAGCCTCGGTTAGGTTGATTTAACATCAACGGATGCCTGGTTTTTTTTTGTTGCTTTCTAAGGCATCAACTACCTTAGTAATCACATATTCTTGTCTATTTTCATGTTTTCGGTGGGGAAATCATATGGTTCCTTTATAACTTTAATGATATAGTCGTTCTTCGTAGATTCTGCTTTATCTCTCGCTCCGGTAATTTTTTATAGGCAGATTGAAAGAGAATTAGTATAATTCTTATTTTGTAAGCTTATATTACTAAATTCTATCAATCATATCACTAAAAGACTTGTATTATTATTCTCGGGAGCTGAGCTGCTGGTGGAGATAAGATAAGACATAGTCACGTGATTGTGGGTTCTCACCGGTCAGCTCAGCTCGGGGGGACAGGGGTCAGATGAATTGCGTCCTGGCACCGGAATGGAAGAATATTTAATCCCGTAGGCTTAAAACCAATATCTCGTTCCTGATGAAGCATCCATCAAGCTCTCAGCTTGCATTTTTACCCTTTGATGAAAGGGTCTGACTGAATGCTTTATCCTAAATGAATATGATGCTGAGTTCATTGGAAAAACATCCAACAGCAATATTTGTCATTCCATGGGGCTGCTAACACATGCACCTACAATACCTGCTAATACGGAGTGTTATCGCATACCCTCCAGCAAGTGTCCGATGATAGGCCGTGCATTGTTGAGCAAGATCTCACCATTCAGAGCCTACCATTTTTATCACCGTGGTCAAACGGTACATAAATATCAGATACAGTTGCTTGTTCTCTGTTGAAGAGAGCCATTCACGATGTGACGCGCTGGTGCCTGTCCACTTGTATATTCAAGGAAAACATTGAATAACATGCCTACTGACAATACACATACCTTCCCTTTGTGCACTGTGTTTGCAGTCCCAGTCCCCAAAATATAACTACTTGTCCTCCCTCACCCCACCTTCTCTCTTTCCTCTCTCGTTACCACCATCCAACTCTAAGGGCAAGCGGATACCTATCCATAAGGTGACATCTCAAAGGTGTACACCTGGACCGACAATAACCATCTGACTATCAATGACATTCTGGGGTTTGCTGGTTTGTCTTGTGAATAAAAAAAACTTGCACCAAAAACCCTAGCTTTCAAGCCTTGCTCTCGGTGTTATCTATGGGCTCGTGGGCTATGTGGGTGTGCTTCTTTTCTACAAAATGCTCTAGGTTCTCCTAGTTCGTCAACTAAATATCGGAGTTATCTTCGTTAATTATCCTGGCTTTTGCTCTCAGGGTTGATTTTACACATGCTCTCTGCTGTTGTCTTGGGCGTGTTTCACTCTAGGGCCGTGGGCTTTGTGGGTTGTGTTATGCTATCTATTCTTTTCTTCTTCTCGCCCTGTGATGAGTTCGTCCTAGAGACGAATATAAGCCAATTCTGCAGGCATCTGCTTGACGACGGCTCCATTCATGGCACTTCGTGTCTGTGGACCGTGTATACAGCTGGAAGCCAGTTATGAAACCTGAGAGCAAACTGAGGGCGAGTTTCCTTTTATTTTTGTGGATATGATCATGTACATACGGTATGTTGGTGGAATCAATTAGAAATCCGCTAGCATCTATGTTCCTTTTTTTCGTACTATAGCTACTTGTAGACCGGCTGGGGGTATACATCGATCCCTCAGAACTGCAAATAAAAACAGAGAAGAGGTATGTCATTTCGTAAATGTAAAAAACGCCTGCTTAATGCCAAAAGTCGCACGCTTAACGACAAATGTACACATTTTATATTATTTTTCATCGCCTCGGACGTGACACGCCTCGCGACTAGCGCAGGAACTTGCCCAATGCGCCACCGATGTTCTTGAGATCTAACAAGAAAGTGTCATGACCGAACAGCGACAGGTCGTCACCAAGCTCGATATGTTCAACCTTCTTGTTGCCTCCAGCACGGAGTGTCTCAGCGATTTCCCGCTGTTGCCACGCCGGGAACAGGATGTCACTTGCAACACCCATGACAAGCACAGGGTGATCCTTGAGAGGCGCAAGGCCGGCAACAAGATCCTGGGGAGGACCTTCCACTTGGTCGACAGAGACGGACTTGTCCAGCGGGGTCGCATTGGAGGTTGATCCAGGCTGCTCCTCATAGGGCTTGTCTGGAAGGGTAAGACTGCAAGCGGGGTCCGAGGCATTTGGTGCGTCACCGCCGTGCGCAATGCGATGCTCAGACTCTGCGCGGCGTTTCATAGTCGCAGTCTGATGAGCATGGCCGAGATCGAACAAGTCCATGGCCTTGGAGACATAAAGAAGACTGTTGGGGTCGTACTCGAGACAGAACTTCTCACCGGCATGGTCGAGGTATGTCTCGATAAGGAAGTCGGGACACAGAGCGGGCTGTTTGCTAGGGTCTGCACGCCGGCGACCAAATCGCATCTCCCACTCTGGTCCGCTGCGGTACGTCACAGTTGCAATCTCGCGAGCTAGCTTCATACCAGAGTGTGGTGGGATTCCATCGTAGTAGAATCCACGGGCCCAGTTGGGATCCATCATCAGCACCTGGCGCTGTGTGTGTCGCATCGCTATACTGTAAGGGTGGCTGCGGGCGCAACCGCTAATGCTCACGATCTTGTTGACCCGCTCTGGGAAGAGGACGCCTGCGGCGAGACTCTGCATACCGCCCATGCTGGATCCAACCGAGGCAGCTAGCTTCTTGATTCCTAGGCCGTCAAGGAGCCGGAACTGAGCACGTACCATGTCGTCCAAAGTCAGAATTGGGAAGCGGGTTGCGTATCGCTTTCCGTCGGACGGGTCGAGGGAAGACGGGCCTGTGCTGCCGTAACATCCCCCGATGACATTCGTGCAAATGATGTGATATTTATCGGTGTCCAGTGGCAACCCGGGGCCAATGAACTTTTCCCACCAGCCGGGCTTTGGGTTGGACGCTGTGCTGTGGGCGTGGCTTGAGGCGGACAAGCCGGTGTGCAGGAGGATGGCATTGCTCTTGTCGGCGTTCAATTGCCCCCAACTCTCGTAGGCAACGTCGAATTCAGTTAACACACCACCCCAGTCGAGCAGAAGTGGTTGTTCACAGTGGTATGATTCGTGTCGACCGGTAGTGTATGAAGGTTCGGGGCCGGACTGCAGCGACCGAGCAGAGAGCTGCGCTGACTTTGCTTCTTGGGCGTCGAGACAGGGGAATGACATAGCTGGATTGGAGGAGTCTCTCTCAGTTGACCCCGCGGTGGCCGATGCTGACTTCCGCGGCGGCACGGTATGCAATGGGCGTGCGGTCTTCCATTGCGCCGATAAAGTCCGATGCGGTCCTGCGGACTTCACAGGGGAGTTACCCTGTCGCCATGGCTGGGTTCGAATTCCGCGTGAAGCAGCTCGAGCGGCGCCTCGAAAAGATTGCATTATAAAAGCCCAAGATCTGTGTGAGTCAAGAAAGAGAGCTTCCCAGGTTGAAGGCTATCGGGGGGAGAAATATGTGGACACCTCAGGCACTCAGCAGTCGCGTCATCACCGACATCGGTGATTGGCGGAGACCTGGGCGTTGAAGTATACAATGTACAACATACGGCAGATATTATATGCAACTCTTGTCAGACAAATTAAGGATAAATTTACATATATTTGTGCAATTAGAATAACAACAACACGGGTTAATACGTACTATAGTCTTTTGTGGCCTATGGTCAGTTTATGCTGCTAAAGAGAACCGCAAAAACCAAGTGAAATAAGTGTCCGAGGGCTTATAAAACAAAAAGAATATGTAGGAAGCATACCAACTTTGCTTTTTGATGCATAAAAAAAAAGATGCTCATACATGACCCCAAGCTGATTCTCATACAAACCGTTGTGCAACTATCAAATCACGACTCCCAAAATGGGAATATCCAAAACGCCTAACGCTAGATGCAATAAAAGTCCGAAACACGAAAATTAAGTCATAGCAAACCTTGGTTGCTAAAACTTATCGCAATGCGCCTGTTGGCTCACAAGTTCCCTGTGGATTTCGTAGAATTTGACCCTTGGTCAACCACGAGCTTCGACATAACAATAGTGTTGTTATTGGATCGAATATCAATAGCAGCAGACCACATACACCGGAATTGACCGCAATTAGCATGGAAAACAATCTTGCTCCCATCAGTCGAGACCGTCGCACCACCTGGCGCCTCGAGACCCCAATCACCAGTCTGTAGCAAAGGCCGATTAGCCCTCGCATACGGACCCTTGATGGATTTTGAGTGTGCATATTTCACATTATAGCCCAGTGAAACATAGCAATGCGAAGAGAAGAACAAATAGTAGGTGCCATCCTCGGTGAGCAAGATATCGGGGGCCTCAACAAGGGGACCATCAGTATCGTCAATGTCGAGGATTTTCACTGGCTCTCCGACGGGTGTGATGCCATCCCTTTTCAACTCCTGCAGAAGAATTGGAACAGATACAAGTGGCTTCTTACTATTGTTGCAGTTGCCGCCGTGTCCAACACTGTTTCCGTCCCCCTTGTAGACCACGTACAGCGTGCCATCGGTGTCTCTGAACGGCGATGGGTCGATGGCACCACCGTGCTTGTGGGGACAGGCGAGTGGCTTGTCTTCGGGGATATAAGGACCTAGTGGGCTTGTGCCGTTTGATACGGCAACCCCCACACAATGGTGACTGCCATAATCTTTGGCCTCTCCTGAGTAATACATTACAAATTTGCCATCGTCCTAGAAATGTATATGTGAATAAAAAGAACGGAATACGGAATGGGACGATGCTCACGAGTATACTTACCCGCTGGATCACATCTGGGGCCCAATGATTGACCTTCTTCTCCCAAGAGCCAAGAGTAGGCATCGCATCATAATCCTCGCGAAGAGCCCAGTTGAGAAAATCGGTCGATATAGCAACAGGCACATGGATACTGCCGGGGTTCCTTTTCTTGGGGTTGGTTCCGTAGGCATACCATGTGCCATTGTGCTGAATGAGTCCCGGGTCCGGGAAATTGTGGAGGGCGAAAGTAGGCCGGTTCTCCTCAAGTTGGTAGCTGTGGTCTTCATTTGGCTGAGGTCGTTTCCAATAGTCATCAGTGTCTTTCGCAAAGCCATAGATCTTTGTGAAATAGATGGGGAGGGCAATGACGAGTGCTGTCAAGGCCAGTCCGAGGAACCCCAGAGCACAGAGTATCCCAATCTGACGTCGTCCCCATGGTCGGGTAAAGAAGCGTTTCTTTTCTGCTCCGGTTCCCGCTTTCGCTTCCAAGGAAGATTGAATCTTGCTCCCATCTGAGATTTCATTGACTGCGATGGTCTGGACGACAGAGTGAGCCACATATTTCTCAGGCACAATAGAAATGACAGTCGCCATTTTGTTTTCTTTGTGATGCCGAGGAAATAAAAACGGGTTGGGGCTGTGATTTCTTATGGAAAAAAGACACTGTTGACTTGAATCAATTGCTTAATTGTGTGTGGTTGAGGCTCTGGGTAAGCGCAGGAAGGTCGGGTTATTCCATGGTGAATGACTTTCCACAATGAGTTTTGAGAATTGGAGGATTGACTACGGAGGTTAACGAGAGACAATGAAAGAAAAAGAGAGATAAAAGGCGAGTCTACCGGGCTTTATTATACGGTATATATCTGAGAGGTGATAAATGGCTCAAATGATGTGAAACGGGGATAATAAGCCGAGACAGAACTGATTGGCTACAATTCAAGTAATAATCGGGTTCGAACCCTTAAAACAGAGTACTCACACTAAGACATATACCATAAACCCTATTATTGTACTTGCAACGCCTATCTCGGAGGATTTGACTTTTTTTCTCCAAGCACGTCATCCATAGTATTTGATGTCGATAGATCCTACCCTCATTAATCTACTTTGAGACGGCTCTGCAGAAACAAAAGGGAAAATATATATCTACCTACATAGGTAACACCCAAGCTTTTGCGGGTGTCAATAAGCACGGGTCAGTCCAATGAGAGTGATCCCGCAGAACCAATCAGTCGATGATCACTTTCTATTTGTAGATTAGACCTAACAGGGTGGGGGCATCCTTGATTCGCTCAAATCTACATCTGACCTAGACGGACTCTGTCTAGGCAACACAGTTGTTTCCTTCCAAGGTTTCTGTTTACCCACTAGAGGCGCGAAAGAAAGGGTTCAGCATGGGGCTTTTTTTTTCATGAGAGTGAGAATGAAATATCAAGTCCCAAACCTGACACATGATAGTTAAACAGCCCTAGAGGTGTGGTAGCCAAGCGGTAATTAGCGTGTGCCCACGTGCACATGTGCTATTGGGTTGGGAATTTGTTTTGTTGCACGTTGGATTTAATTCCCAGGAAGAATTAAGGACCAGTTGTTAGCCTCTGGCGGATTTTGCCAAGGGAATCTCTCCTTGGTCGAGACTTACCTACGGAGTACATACTCCGTAGGTAAGTCATACTCCGTACATAGGAAAAGAGTTATTTTGAGTTAGGAAAGCTCTTATATGTGCCAAGCCTTGAGTGGCGCAGTTCCTGTCTAGTAGAATTTTATACTTCATCCAGTGGTACTCGGTTTTGGTTATGTTTAGCTCTATCTTTCTGTATTAAGGTCATGATCTAAATTTATTTTTGGCCTGTCTCGATTCTCCTTGCCTCACTCTCACAGCGGCATTTTTTTCTCTTAAAAAATGCTCAACTCAATAATTTCAACCGGCTTCAACAGCATTCATATTGTTCCTACTATACTTCCTCCGTTGTTTGAACACACCAATTAACTGGCTTAGTAGGCCATACTGTTTGTGTTCCACTTCAAGTCACATTCAAGGGCATAGTCTTTCCACCATGGATTTGTCGCAGTCGAAATGCAATTCGTAGCCTGAGCGAAGTTATTAGCCTAACCTTTAGCCACCATCTGAGCTCATTTGGGTACGATCAAACATTCCGTTTCTGTGGTATGTATGGCTTGCCATGGCAGTGAATTTCAGAACCCGCAAATAGGGAAAGTGGAATCCCGGGCATGGCGCCATTTGACGATAGTGAACGTGAAGTCGCTTATGGTGTGGTGCGGCCAGATGACCAGAACAACCAAGGCGTAATTGTCGTGATCTTGGTCTAAGCATTTTCACAGTTTCTTTTGTCACGGGACAACGAACGATTCATTTTTTTACTCTCGTTTTGGCCTTCTTTTTGACTTCTTTTCATCTTTGGATGTAGATTTCATCCACTTGATCTTGGTATTGCCTCATCCCTTCTCGGGGTATGACTGGATCAACTGGATCTGATATTTCGAACGTGCCAGGTGGCTGGTTCAAAGCGCTCTCAGTTTGGATGCGCTCTTTAAGACCTTCGACGGGGTGGAATGGGACCCTTTTGTGATTGATGGTCAGCCAGTCTATGCACTTTGTGGCAGTACTGGGGTTGTCAAGCAGTTCAAGAAGCTCAGAGGTGATGTGAGCTTCAAATTCATGGAAGAATTTATCATCCGGTTTGTATGTCAAAAGCAGACGGGACTTGGACGAATGAGCTAGGCGTCCAAAGAAGAAAAGCAGCGGGAGTGATAAGCAGAGCACTTACTAGGTGAATAGGTGGATGCAACTCTGTGCGATGGTGCTCCTGGAGCTGTGCAAGAGCCAAAAGAGCACACAGCAGATATGGGTTCTCGCTCCAATTTTTTGGCGTTATTTGGGCTACTCGTTTTCGCTGAATTCTTACCCCGAGACGGTTAGTAATATCTTCTGTGGGGAAACGAGCTGGAAACATCTCCTGGCGACAACGCTCAACGTCAAGATAGTCTAAATAGCCGAGGGTTAGCCGTGGTGCCTGGCCAGCTGGCTGACTGTGTTTACGACCGCGATAGAACACACTGTACTGAGGTCGATGAATCCTCTTATTTGCAAAGAAGAAATACGGTGTTTCACTATAAACAATAGGCTAGCTATGGCCTAGTCAACCTATCTGTTGCAAGCCACAGCTTGTATTGCTCACCATTTCCGGTCAAGCAAGGGCGGTAGGAGATATTGGAGGCAGGACTCGCGCCTCATAAAATGGCGGCCGCTTGCAAAGATTTCCTCATAGGTTGGCTCCCTCCATTTTGCGAGCGTTTTTCCATGATCGATTGGTATTGGTTGGCATGCATCTGAGATAGGCTCGGTGTCGTCTGTTGGCATATGGTCAAGGTGCTCAAACCGACATCTCAGCATCTCCAGATGACGAGAAGTCCAGCATATTGGTTGAACCAAGAGACCACGGTGATGGCTCATGAGCTCAGCAATTGAAATCACATCAGTAGCTGGCACTGCCATACTGAAGATACTTGTAACAGGTTGAAGGAAGTGGGAATACAAAGGAGTCTGGAGCGCATCTGGACCGCCTACGCGCGAAATAAATGGACCGACGGTAATATATCCTGCCTATACAAGTATAGTGACAAGGCATAGGCTATCTGGCCTTTTATTAACATCCCTGATAACTAATCAAAGGCTATATATGGAAAAGTCGTTCTATACATTTTAAACTCATACAATTCTAGCTACGTCACCAACAAAGCAGCAAATATCTATAAAATGGACATCCAAAAAACCTTTCAAAAAGACGGTACACAGCCACATAAGTGGCCTACTATTCTAGTTTATATTTGTATCTCTCTAGGCATCTACTATTTTGTGCCTTTTGATCTGCATCTCTCTTTCATCCACTAGCCGGCAAGACAAAACGTGAGGACAAGACACAACAAAAGTTGAAATTGTGAAATACATATGTATATACTTACATACATAGTCTTTTACCGAAAGAGCAAGTATTCTCGTAATGGTCTCGAAGACTATTAGCAGTATATGGCCCCTTCATACATAATTCTTTGGTACACATGTCCTTGTTTATCATCCATGTGGCCACGTTGCCAATAAAAGCAAGTATCCCCCAAATCCCTAGGGCTTGGCAGATCTGGCGTTATCTTTGGTGAGACCATTCTGTTGCTATACAATGCGAGTTCCATATCAAATTCACAAGCCAAGCGAAGCTTATATCACTTATCGGAGCTTGCAGCAGATAAGCGTTAGTCAGTTAAACCATCCCTACATGTAGGATTCGAAACTAATTAATTTTAGTGATATATATAGTGTAATTCTATTCTGTTGGTCTTACTTCGTAGATGAAGAGGTGTCAATAGTGTTTGACTTAGTTATGTTACGAATCATTTATCTCGGGATGATCATCGCCGATTCTGGAAGAGCAACAAGCCCGGGCACCTCATGTGGGGGGGTGCTCCGACAAAGCCAAGTAATTTATGTAGCAGGGACATTGTTAATGTTGTCAATGTATGCCAAAGAAACTTAATAGATAGAATAAAGAATAAACCATGTAAGATCGGACACTGTCAAAGATGGTGATAGTTTTAAGTTACATCCCAAAGACCACGTGAGCGGCTCCACCCAACCTACAAGCTGCTTCCGGCATACGCAATCCTCTTACTTGACTCGTGGACGTCTAACAAAATTAGCCAGCAAGGCGATAAATTACTCGCTGCTAGACAGCGTGGACTGTTCTTCCATTCATCTCTCCTTGCTGTACTGTGGTACTGCTAGGTGACCGGCAATTCTTACTGGCTTTTTTTTTTTTACGCCTCCTATTCCGATTCTGGATTGACCGTATCTCCGACCATCGAGGTCACATCCAAGACTTCCGCATATCGATATGTCACCCTCTCGATTTATTTAGCCTAGGATTTGGAATCGCTCGACTGCCACACCCGCAGAACGAATCGCATACCAAGAATATTCAAATTCCCCGCGCTCGCGGATCACGGAATACAAAAGCACGGAGACGTTAATTCCTATCTTCCAGCCAATCTACGGCTGTCGCAAAACCAGCGGCTTATTTCCCGACTACACCGGCCCCATCGCCTGTCATGATCACCCCGCGCAAGGTGCTGCTCGCCCTCCTCTGCGTAGTCAGCTTTGTTCTCATCCTCCGCTCGTTCCGAGATCCTGAGGTTCCTGGGGCACCTGGGTACAGACCGGTGAAGAAGATATCACAAGAAGAGGATGAAGCGATAGCAAATTTGGCACGGAAAACACCACCGCAAGGTCGAGCCAAATTACCCCTCGGCGCATCACTGACAGCACCGCTCCGCGACCGTCTCCGGTATCAATTCCCATATGAAATCGAAAATAGATTCCCCGCATACATCTGGCAAACATGGAAATACAACCCGGCATCATTCTGGTTTGACGAAGACCTTCGCGGTCCGGAGGCCAGCTGGACAGAGATGCACCCCGGATTCACACATGAAGTCATCCCTGATGAGACACAGCAACACCTGATCAAATATCTATATGGATCAGTTCCTGAAGTATTCGAGGCATATGATTCGCTCCCACTCGCCGTTATGAAGGCGGATTTCTTCCGATACTTGGTTCTTCTAGCGCGGGGGGGAGTATACAGCGATATCGACACTTCGGCACTCAAACCCGCGCACACGTGGCTCCCCGAGGAACTTGATCGATCAACTATCGGATTCATTGTTGGCATCGAGGCTGATCCTGACCGTGATGACTGGCATGACTGGTATTCACGCCGTCTTCAGTTCTGCCAGTGGACCTTTGTGTCGAAGCCCGGGCACCCGATTCTTCGTGATATGGTGGCTTATATCACCGAAAATGCTTTGCGGATGAAAAAGGCGGGCATCCTCAAGGTTGGCAAGATGGATAAGACTGTTATGGAGTTCACCGGGCCAGGGGCTTGGACGGATTCCATCTTCCGCTATTTCAACAACCCGGAATACTTCAATATCCAGCCTGGTGATAAGAACATTACCTACGAAGACTTTAGCCACCAGACTACACACCGCAAGGTTGGTGATGTGGTTGTTCTACCCATTACCAGCTTCAGCCCTGGTGTAGGGCAAATGGGTGCGGGCGATACGGATGATCCCATGGCTTTCGTGAAGCACAATTTCGGCGGTACGTCTTGATCTTTGACATTCATTTGGTCTCATGTGGACATAGTACTAACGTTTTGATTCCAGGTACATGGAAAACAGACCCATCACTGTGAAAAAAATTCCCAGCCCTTATTCTATTCGATTCCAACACTTCACACTGTATAGTATCAGGGGCCTATTGCAGACCTGTCCTTGCAGTTCATCTCAATCTTTGCTCCGATTTCATCACCCACACCTCCCCTCTAGATCTCCCGATTCTCTCTCCTCCCGTCACAAACTCTCAAATCTCCGGCATCGAACTATCATCATCGGTGCCTTGAATATGACTGAACCCAGGCGCAAGCTTTAAACCCGTTCCATGTTTCATGATACCTGTTCATATGATTCCCCCACTTTGCTTTCCTTGTTACATACACTGTGCTTTTTCTTTTTCCTGAGTAAATGGGTTGCTACTCGCTATACTAGCTGCTTATAGATTTTGATTTCAATCTCATTGTTGCAAAAGCCAAAAGGCAAGTTCGCGAGGATTCCAGTTGCCTACGATGGAGATCTTGATGTATATCCATTATACGGACCTAGGGGATATATTACATATAAATATGCTGCCATAGTGAATGTCTAACCACTATATCCAGAGGAAATATGTGTTTGGTATCATATATATGTAATTAATTCCATTTCTCATTGTTCAAAAACCCCCAATCTCCAAAGTCCCATAACACCGAGACCTAACGCCAGATCAAGGAGCAGCGCCAGACCTAACTGTAAACTCCGAAGTCACATAAACTTTCAAGTTGTCCACTTCCGATAAAATATGCTCCTCGCTATTCCCATCATTTGATTGCGACCCGGATCGAATATCGGTAACCTGGTGCCCTTCGGATTCATATATAGGGTCGAAATCGCTCTTTCTGCGCCCATGCCCTGTCCCTGTCCCCAACCCCGTTCCTTGGCGAACAGAGTCAAGCGCATAAGTACGCGAAGTGTCGCGGTTTCGGTATGAGCTCACAGTGGAAGCGAAGGACTTGAACAGAGGTCCGTACGTAGGAATGCAGGCGATGATAACCTACGCATTTTTGTTTCGTCAGTTTGTCCTTGGACCTGAAAAATGGACTTGAAGCGGTAGCAAAATCCCACTTACACCCAGGCTGATCTCCACACAAGACCAGATCACGATATTCTTGCTGTCGGTGTAGGTTTTCAAGTCCCAAACGGTGAGGATGCGGATTATCTGGATCACGGTCACGAAGAAGCCGAGAGCAAACAGGCAACCCAAGAGGACTTTTTGTTTGAGGCGGAGCTGGAGTTTCCAAAGGACTGGCAGAGGTAGTGCGATGATTATCAGGTCTAGCACGATGCTTGTGCCCCCAAGAGCAAAATAGAATGGTAAGGTATTGATACAACTCCCCTTGAGAGAAGTATCCCATTGTTTTGCGACCTGATTGATGTCAGATACTATGTTTTCACCGATCAATGAGCGTTGGAGGAGAGGCCTACCGGTATGCAGGAGACTGATATGATAATGGCGAAAATCAATTGGTTAACGACACACACAACGATGGCGGCAATTATGATTCTGCGATACTGTTTGATAATTCCCGCAATGCGCAGGTACGAGGCTAACAAGGCGACTTTGAATCCAAGGACAGCGAGACAGTAGACCGGGCCGCCGGTATATTGAATCTATGGACCCACAATTAGTGTCAGGCTCGAGATCGACTAATGTTGGTCGTGCGATGCTCACCCTGCTAAATGGAATAACATTCTCCTTTGGAAAATAGGCGGCGGAGAGTCCTTGACCCCATCGTGTCTCTAGGATAGTCATTCTGTCAATTCCAAATCTAACCTAGGCTGATCAAGGAATCGACTCACGAGCGACAGCGATCCCGGCGTATGCCAACGTTAACAGTGAACTCGCCAGTGCCGCATAGTCATCAATCCATGGAAAACGCTTGTTGCTTATTCGCACATAGAATCGCAGGCATATGCACAGGAAAGCTAGAATTGAGCACACCAAGCAGATTGCGATCACTCGAGAGATCTCGCTATTTGGATCAGTCTCGTGGAGGTTGTATACCCAGCCCATGATTTGATCATTATCACACAAGTAAAGAAATTTAGCCTCCGAAAGGGGATGTGGTATTCTTATTCATAATTATTAGGGAGTCCACAGGAAATCCTTCGTTGTACAGCTGAATCCTAAATGAGTCGGGTGGGGCGGGGCGGGGCTTATACTTGTTGGTGTACCAAGTACGGAGTAATTAAGTTGCAGCACTAGATTCACAAAAGACAGGGATCTAGGTATATGAATTATAATTTGTCAATTTTTCTTTTACTTTTCTGTTTAGGTTTTTCGTTTTTGGGCTTTTTGGGACTTGTCTTAGATTAGATATGTGGAGGCTACGGGAATCCACGGATATTATTTTGAATTACGGACTGTGCGAAAGAAAATGGACTCAACACCATATCTGAGCACATTGAAAGCAGGAAGCCAGATCGCCTAGGTATCCATGGGTATCCGGATCGATGGATTATTTATTAGTCTCTCGAGAAAGAGGTAAAAGATCTGCACCTGAACCTTGGAATTACCTCAAACCATGTGTTTCAACCATGGAACATCCATGGATAGTACCGGAAGGGACCACCTGGGCACCCTGCATATGTGGACAAGCGCGAATTTTGGAACCTCGGAAGATTCCAAGGTCGGAATGTCTCACCGTTAAAGTTTGAGGAAATTTCCAAAAGGCTGCAGAATATGTTTAAAGGTGGGGTCATGGCACCATGTGTGGCTGGCTCGGGCCAATGAATCTCCGAGCACTGCACATTCTTATTGTTCTTCAAGGCTAAAGAGAACCGGTGCCTGTCTTAGCTGCAAAGATATATTGCCATAAATTGCCGGCGTCAATAGTGTGGATTTCTCAATGTTCTAAGCGAATACCCGAATACCCCTGGCTTGTTATCTTTTTATCGTGCATAATTTCGGGATATTTAAGAGAACCTGATACACTTGCATGAAAGCCAAGCCAATCCGTTATGTTTTTCCGCGCATCCTTCATTGCTTCGCTATTGGCAGTTCTGCCTCAGGCTTCGGCCTCTGAGGGCTGCCGTTGCTTCCCCGGAGACGCCTGTTGGCCCACTGAATCTGAGTGGTCTCAATTCAACAACACCATCGAGGGTCGACTAGTGAAAACCGTGCCTCTCGGCACACCTTGCCATGCCCCGAACTACAATGCTGCGACCTGTGCAGTCTTGAAGGATGGATGGCTACTTCCCGAGGAGCAGTATGTTGACCTTACATGTAGAATAATAAACAGCCTGTACTAGGTACTGACGACATCTCTTAACAGCTATGAATCGTCTTCCTCAGTTATGGCACCGTTCTTTGCCGAGGGCGCTTGTGATCCGTTCCACCCCGTCTCAAAGCCCTGCACACTAGGCAACTATGTGCGCTACAGCGTAAATGTTACCAGCCCGGCTCAGATTTCCAACACCGTGAAGTTTGCAACCAAGCACAACATCCGTCTTATCATCCGTAACACCGGCCACGACTACAATGGCCGATCCACTGGTGCTGGATCCCTTGCAATCTGGACCCACCACCTGAAGCAACTGTCAATCGACTCCTACAAGGATCAGCACTACTGCGGAAAGGCCATTACCATGGGCGCTGGAATTCAGGGCTTCGAAGCCTACGAGCTTGCCGAGAAGACTGGCTACCAGGTCGTTGGTGGCGAATGTCCCACCGTGGGTCTTGCCGGTGGCTACACTCAAGGAGCTGGTCACTCTGCCCTCAGCTCCCGCTATGGCCTGGGCGCCGATCAGGTCCTGAAATGGGAGGTCATCGATGGCCAAGGCAACTTCATCACTGCCACCCGTGACAACGAATACTCCGATATCTTCTGGGCTCTTAGCGGTGGCGGTGCTGGCACTTACGGTGTTGTCTGGTCCATGACCTCAAAGGCACACCCTGGAACCCCCGTCTCCGGCCTGAACCTGACATACACGAGTGAGGGTATCTCGCAAGATACCTTCTACAGTACCGTCGAGACATTCCACGCCACCCTGCCCGCTATCGTCGATGCAGGTGCTATGAGCGTCTGGTACTTCACCAACACTAGCTTCTCTATTGCTCCCATCACCGGTCCCAACATCCCTGTCGCTGACTTGGTGACCCTTCTTAAGCCCTTCACCGACAGCCTCGACAAACTCGGCATCAAGTACACCACGGTTTCCAAGCAATACGACAGCTACTACAGTCAATTCCAGGATATGCAAGGCGTTATCGAGGTTGGCACTGCCCAGTATGGAGGCTGGTTGGTCCCGAGATCGGTTGTTCAGAACAACAACCACGCCCTGCTGACTGCTTACCGTGAGATCACCGAGGCGGGCGGTACCTTCATTGGTGTCGGCTTGAACGTCTCCCAAAAGGTGACTGGAGACGTCCACAACGCGGTCCTCCCTGCTTGGCGCGAGGCCCTGATTGACACTACTTTGACTACCCCTTGGGAGTGGAATAACGATGCTCTCATGTTGGAGCGCCAGCGCCAAATGACCGAGGATTTCATTCCTAAGTTGACCGCGCTGTCCCCCGAGTCTGGTGCTTATATGAATGAGGTATGTAAACTAATATTTAGCTCTAATTTCCTTCATTATTATGAACACATGCTTATCGTTTTGGCAGGGTGACTTCCAGCAGCCCAACTTCAAGAAGGTCTTCTACGGTACCAACTATGACACCTTGCGCAAGATCAAGGCCAAGTATGACCCGAACAATGTCTTCTACGCCAGAACTGCTGTCGGTTCTGATGAGTGGACCGAGAGTGAGGATGGCCGCTTGTGCAAGGCGACCTAGGAAGGATCCAACTGGGTTGGATATGGTACTATATAGTGTATGAATGTTTGGATCCTATCATGTAGGATTGAAGTATACCTGGAGGCCCAACATCTCAAGTTGCCGTCGAAAGGATCTATGTATTTCTACTATACTCAAGTTTCCCTGAACAATACAATAGAGGTTTTCATGGACAATCAAAAGTGACATTTCTAGCTTCTAATAACAAACCCTGCGATGACCATGTGACTAAGTACATCCATCTTATGCATGCATACCTAACTAAGGTTCTCTCTTGCGTCTTCTACCCAAATCCTCGGTTTTTGTAGGTGATTTTCAATGTGAAAACGATGGGATGACTATCAGGACCATCTCATATATCAAATCACAAGGGACATGATCTATTGAGCCTGTGATCTAAAAAGAAATCTGCGCTAGCAGTGAGACCATATGTTCAACTTGAAACACCTACGTATAGGTGCACCAAATATTATCTTGGGTAGACAATATCGAAAATCCCATATATGTAATAAAAAAACCACCTATGTAACGCGTGAACTGCCACCCATAACTATGTAAGTTATATTGATCACTTTACGACGAAAAGAGAGTCAAAAGAAAATGGCATTAAAACGCTCCCTGTTCACAAGATTGCGCTTGGAAACCTTGTGAGGTTGCTGTCGGTTCTTAGGCAGGAGTATGAACTCCAAGTGATCGGTCTCAATGATCACGATCAAAAACAAAGTTTCTGCAAAGGGAAGTGTATGTAAATAAAAAGCGAAGGAAAAAAAGAACAATACTGCCCGGGATGATTTCATACTGTTATCCACGAGTGTGGATGTGTGGGAAGGTCAAATGATGGCGGTGAGGCCAACTGGATATAGCATGGCGAGGGGTGTGATATCCCCCGAGACCACATTTGCCACAGACATACCTGCCAAGGGCTGTCATGGGATCGCATCTGAAAGCAAAAAGGTAAGATTGGCGCGAATGATCGCGAATGATCGCAAGTGCGTCCTCTGGGTGGAGGAGCATTCGCTCACCGGGGACGCGTCCGTGGGGGTCCCGTGGGGTTAGAGAGAGATGGTCGTCATCTGATAATGTCGGAAGAACGAAGGTTCGGTGGGAGCTTGATGGGCTGGCTGTAATGGCAAACGGATTTTTCAGAAGTCACTGAATAACGGCTCGTACTTCTTCTTCAGATCCTCCGTGTAAATGTTCATGTTTCTGAGGTCGGGGGATCCGGGTATTCCTCAAAGTTACCGGTGTCCGCGGGGTGGGATAGGCGGGGAAGTATAGGTCCTTTTACCCGGCGATAAAACAAATCATCCCAAATAACATTTTGAAAGAACGGATGGGACTTGACTCGAGCCGAGCCACCAGAGATGTGGCCCAGTCGCTCTGACGGATTTGTTTTACAGAGTAGGGAGACGATGTTTTGTGCTGCGGGCGGCATGTTTGGTGGGAAGCGTAGACGGCCTTCGATGATCTGCTCGTAGATGCGCATAGGGTTCTGATCCCAGAAAGGAGGCTGTCCGATCAAGAACTCGTAGATCAAGATCCCAAGAGCCCACCAATCTACAGCAAGTCCATGGCCGCTGTTTTGAATGACCTCCGGGGCTAGGTATTCCGGTGTGCCACATAATGTGTATGTTTCGCGGTTATCGACTTGCTTTGCAAACCCGAAGTCAACAAGCTTGAGGTGACCGTCGGCATCTAACAGGATATTCTCCGGTTTGAGATCTCGGTAGGCAACTCCATGGACGTCGTGCAGGAACTCGATTGTCATTGTTATTTCGGCGGCATAGAATGTCGAGACTTCTTCGCTAAAGCGTCTTTGCCGTCGGAGATATGTGAATATTTCACCTCCGGGACAATAATCCAGCTAACAATGGTCAGCCGAAACGTATTCCGAGTTCCAAAGAAAAAAAGGTTGCCATACCAGCATGTAGAGGCACTTCTCATCCGAGAACGATGCAATCAAGGTGGTGATGAAAGGGTGGTCAATGACAGCTGCGAGGGCCTTTCGCTCGTTGCGCACATGTTCCACTTGCTTGAGTTTGATCACTTTCCAGTCGCAATCAGCACGAGTTATCCCTCGCCACGCGCAACGTTAGACAAAGTGGCGCTTACCGTCCGCCTTTCGCAGAATTTTCAACGCGTAGACTTTGTCCTTGTCCTTTTGGTCCTTCAATCTTGCGAGCCATACCCGAGCGAAAGTGCCTATATGATGAAAAACCATAAACAGTCAGACGCGACTCGTGTAAGAGAAATATGGGTTGGGCCACGCGCTAACCGGTTCCAAGAGTCTTGACGAGCACAAAATCGCTCACATGCAGACTCCTCGACGAGATGCATAGTTGCTTCTCATCCTGGCGCTCGGTGATAAGAAAAGGGTTCGAGGATCGCGGAGACGGCCGGAGAGACTCGACAAGTTGCTTTTCCCTGTTATGCAGGTTACCATTTAGTTTGGGAAAGGCCATGGTTCCTGGCGCCTCGTTTGGCGAATGTTGCACTGCTCCGGTTGCCATTAGAATGGTTAAATGTCAAAGATCATGTCGCGGTAGAAGAAAGAAAAAAAAAGGTGTATGGAGACCCCGTTAGCGCGCCACCAATCGGCAACACAGGTTAATTCCGAGTTTCAGATCATAAAGAACATTGAGGATTTGAAAGAGTCTGGGGGTTTCAGAAAAATCGCGGGGCAAAGAGTTGTAAGAATAGAAGTTCTGGCTCTGACGTATTTGCTATTGGGGGCGGGGCTGAACGGGAAGAAACTACGGTGATAAACCGGACCTGAGTAAGCTCTAAGCTTTGATTTGACCCGAATCTATATATAAGATCCCTTTATTGTACACCGGAAATAAGAATGTATTTGATTCAGAAGTCAGTCCATATCTCGATCCAGTCCCATGGCCATTATCTGTTCCTGGCTATGATTTTGGTACACATCTATTAAATGGTGTCTCTTCGAGCTCAGGATGGCCGGTAGCGGAACGAAAAAAGTGTGGTGGAATGAGTTGTACGAAATTGTTCAGCGCTCAAGACTTTGAGTTTAGGATCAAACCAACAATCAAGCTGACCATGTTAGCAAAGAGTAATCTAAAGAATCTGACTTGGAACGGAACATACCCATAAAGCCCAAGAACTTCGCCGAAAATCAAGATGAGAATCATTCCCACATAGACACGAGATTGTTGCATGTATGCTCGGACACCCTAGAGTAGCTGTTAGGGTTTCAATAGTTCTCTCACGTTCCTGGGCATATAGCGTCCTTACCGCATCACCCACAACTCCAATTGTATAACCAGCAGCCACACCTGTAAGACCAACTGACATTCCAGCGGCAAGGTGCATGAAACCTCTGTGCAGTGTTAGCTTGTGCCAAGCTCCGCATCACCCAACTCGCGAAACGTACGTGTACAAGCTCATGTTGGTTGTTGGGCCGACTGCTTGCGCAATGAGCACGGCGATAACGAGACCGTAGACTGCAATAATACCGGACATAACAACGGGGATGAGGGACTGCAGCCATGAACTTGATTAGCTACCATCCTGCTCATCGCGGAACCAGCGAACCAGGGATAAATGGCTTCTTACCTTCATGATGAGATCGGCCCTATAGGTTCCCACGCCTGCAATTCCAATGCCAGACTTAGCTGTTCCATAAGCTGCACCTGCCGCTGTGAGATTGTAAGCTATTTGTCCAGAGACCTAGAACCCAAAGAGTTGGCTCCATCCGCGCGAGGTATTTCACGTACACCCGAAGATCATCTATAGAGAATTGTTAGTGTACTGTCAAATCGGAAGGAGGTTATAAACTCACTGCTGCAGCAATGCCAGCCTAGTTTCGGAAGCCTGTTAGTCTATCAACTCCAATGTCCTCGGGACCTTGAACTCACGAAGGAGAAGAACGGAGCGAACTTGGGCGCAAGCTCACTGTCTGCCATGGTGATGCTAGAGCAAGACTAAGCTCGCCAATCACACAGAAATATAAGAAGAAAATGAGACCTGTTTGATACAAGATCCAGAGCAGGGATAAGTTCGGGCTGTTGATAGCTGGAGGTTTCGGGGCTTTGGGTGTTCCACATGGCCACTTCGCCCGCCGTAGTCCACGCCATTGTCTGGTCCTAGGCGGTGACGATACCGTACCTATTGTATTTCGGATATTCGGTTCTAAGAGCCCCATCACCCGCATATTAAGAGTCTTTGTATTGAAATTACCATACCGGCCTCGCCGTCACCTTCGCCATCCTCGTTCTCCTGGGTCCCTCTACCCCCCCAGTTTATTACTGCATTTTCAACATCTAACCACCACCCCCACCTTCAACAACCCTCCTACCTTTATCACTCACCTCAAATTCGGAGGATGCTGAGGGCATGAAATCGAAGGGAGCCTTGACTTTGTTGCGCTCACGGCTCCTGGCGCTTTTCCATTAATACCGTTTTGATATTGCATTTAAATTCCCCATCTAAACTGAGGGGAATTATGGAATATTGAGTCCCATCAGTGTTTTTGAGACAATCTATTATTTCTTTCGAGGTCATTGCCTACGGAATATTTTCCTCTCGTTCCACCTCTATTGTTTCTTCCGTTGTCTACGATCTTGAACAGACCTCTTGCGACGCCCTGAACGCTCTCCACGATCAAACCGGATACCCCTTTCGCCTTCTTCGCATACCGGAATAGATATACTTTGCGTATCTGATTAAACCACTGTTACTCGTTCTCGATCGCTGATAATCCGTGAAAATGGCGGATTTGGGGGGCCAGCGTAGCCGGAATTACCGGCCTCACGGACCCGCCTCGTCCACGCAGCGGGATGCAGCGTATTCTGACATTTTTGGAGGCGCACCACCCGCAGGACGCTCCCATACCATGAATTCCCAGACCCCGCAATTCTCTCAGGGTCGCGCCCATACCATGTCGTCGCATGTCGCACAACCCCAATTTCAGAGACCACCGCCGCCGCCAACACGGCATATGCCAAATGGACACGGACCGCCATCGGCACCACCAAATGGATATCCTCCACCCCCACCGTCTGGACAGTATCAGGCCTACAATCCAGGGGCCTCGGCAACGATGTCTTCATATCAGCCTCCTCGATACAACCCAAACCCAAATCCCCAACAACGCTTTGCTGCCTATCCTCGGCCTCAACGCCTCGAATCAAGACCAAGTCCTGCTCCCCAGTACCCAGATCCTAGGGATTTCAATCGCCCCATGCCTCCTCCTGCGCTGAATTCAGATTCAACCCGGTCAAGATCAATGGCAAAACTGAGCGGGCCGCCTTACCAGATCCCGCCAAGCAACTTCAATCATACCTCTGCCACTGCCTCTCGCCGTGAGCAGTATCATTCTGGTGCCCAGGTCACGCAGCTCGGCCGCCCTGTTCCAGAAAAACATGCGAACGAACGAGCTATGTCTATGACTTCCTGGTCATCAGATCGGGATCCGCATATCATGAGCAGCGGAAGGTCAATTCCACACCGTAGACCTCCGTCAAGTCACGATCAACAGATTCCAGTAAGGCAAGACTCAATGATGCAGCCCAGTCCGGATGAGCTTATTGCATCTCGTCAGCCAAGCGATGCATCGCAGAGATCTCGGACGATGTCCATGGCATCCACTGTTGCCCCCGATCGGGCGATGAGCGCTCAAAGCCAAGCCACGCAGGGATCCTCCGGCAAAGTTACGCTTGTTTCTAGAGATTCACAGCGCAAAGTTCCGGTAGTCTATCCTGCTTTGCTTTCTCTTGTCGCTGAGATTTTCAGGGAGAAGATTTCACTTGGCGAACGACAGAAGAACGGTCTTTCGTATCAAAATGCGTTTTCGGGTACTGATTCGGTGGACTTGATCGGCTCCATCATCAGAACTAATGATCGCAACCTTGCTCTTTTACTCGGCCGTGCGCTGGATGCTCAAAAGTTCTTCCACGATGTCACATATG